TTTTAAAAAGATAAAAATTCTGGAGAAAAAAAATTAAATTTTATTTGAAAATGTAACTGATGAGAAAATTAAGGATGGTTGCCTTTTTTTTGAAATATCTTGCCTTTTTTTTAAAAAATATTTCCCCCCTTAATTTTCTCATTTTTGTTATTAAATAATAATATTCTTTAAATAAAAATAAATAATAAAAACATAAATAAAATACATAACAAACTAAAATAACATTTTTACTAAATATTGAAATTATTGCTAATGAGTCCTCTTAAATGCTAAAATATTGACATTTTGAAAAATTTCCCAATAAATATTTGGTGAGTCCATGTCTTTATGTTTCCACCTAATTGAGCCAAAAAAAATCATAATTATAACACCTTCTCGGGAAAAATTTCTTTTCGCAACTTTCACATATAGCAAACAAAAAATTTAAATTTGTATGCTATAATAATATTTGTATAATTACGCTTTATAGCAAATATATGTATGTATTAGCTATACATATACAATTGAAAGTTATGCCTATTTCGCTATATATATATATATATATATATATATATATATATATATATAAATACAAAAGAAGCAATTGTATAATTTGTTGGCTCCTTTTCAGATTTGTATAATTTCGCTGGCAGGCCATTTGTATAAATTGTTGTTAGCCTCTCAATTCAATTTATGTGTTTGTATATCTGTATAAAATTTCAATTTGTATACAATTGAATCGAATTGAATAAAATGAGAAAGAGAGAAACTATATACAATTTGAATTTGTATATAACGAAGAAAAAGAGAAAGGCAAAAGAGACTTTGGCAGGAAATATACAATTGAATCGAATTGTATAAAACGAGAAAGAGATAAATCATATACAACTAGCATACAACGAGCCACTGCGAATAGACAATGCAAAAGGACTAAGTTTCTCTCTGCTTGTTTTCTTCTCTACTTCTGTAGCCTGACGACTCACTATCAGTGCTGAGCAATTATGAGGGAGAGAAGCGACTGCCAACAGTTTGCAATGAAACACAAATAAATCAAACGATAGCTACTATATTTATTTTACATTATTAATTTGTCATTCTATATAATTATCCCAACTTCTTTTAACTTTTTACAAAATAGTTATTTTATAAATTATACTTATGACTGTATTTATATAAATTGGATAAATAAAGAGGAGAATCTATTCATAGATTCTTAAGTATACTTCACTGAGATAAATCAACAATCCACTCTCTTGATAGTAAATCATATGACAAGAAAAAAATGTTAAATTCCAAATTACTGTTCATTTTTAATGAATTTATTATTTTGTCATTGTTAATTATGTAATTGATGAATTAATAAAACTTAAGATTTTTAAGACTTTTCAAAGTAATTAATTGAAGATAAGATAGACAAAAAAAAATTATTGTTTTTTGATTTGTCAAAATGGACAAGTAATTAGGGATGTCTTACACTTTGTTTGGATCATTGTTATACATTGTTTCATAATATATTTTATTGTATTGTACTATATTGTATGGTAGATACAATGTTTGGTTAGATTGCACTGTTTGTTGTTGTGTAATAACATTTTAATTGTTTGGTTTGATTGTATATTGTAATTTATAAATTTACTTAAATATCCTTAATAATTTTAGAGTAGGAGGTTTGATTAGGTTTAAATAATTAAGGTAAAGGGTAAAATAGTATTTTTAAATATTATGTAAAGATATAATTGGAAAAAGAAATTAAGTAAAAGACACCAAATTGGTTGTTCCATAAAATAGGGGTTTCCGTTGTTACGTAACAATGAAATTTAACAATACAATACAATACATTTTAAGTAACAATCAAAACAAACATTGTAAGTATTGTCACGATACAAATACAATACAATGAATAACAATGATCCAAACATAGTCTTATTGAAACTAAGTGGACAAGTAATTAGAGATATACTTATTGTAAATCTTAGTTAATAGAATAACTGCAAAATTAAGGTGTCTTTTTAAAAATTCAAAACAACTTCAATAGTTTTTTTTTATGTTTTTTAATATGGGTAATAAATATGTATATATGCATATACATTATTATAAGTTCCATTTCTCTCTCTTATTTAATGTCACGTATGCATATAGATTTTGTAACATGATATATGGAATGAGGGGTTTAAAAACCAAATTTCAAATGGGTTAAAGTTACGTACAGTATAATGATTGTTTATTACCAAATATAATTTAATCAAATTTACTTATCATCTTCCACATGTCATATAAACTATTCATGTTTCTTACCGTTATTACTCCTTTAGTCATATTTTATGTGATAACTTTTAGATTTTAAAATTTAAATAAATTTATCTTATATAATAAAATTTTTAAAGATTTTTTAAACATTTTCAATTATCAGTTATTGCAATTTATAGTACTTTTTACATAATTTATAAATATATAAATTTTATTTTTAAAAATTCAAAAATTTTGTGCGTCAATCGTTTGACTCTCGAAAAATAAAAAATATTATGTAATTGAGGAAGTAACTTTTAATTAATAAATCTCAAATCCAATCAGAATATAATGAAACAATTGAGCAATTACGATAATGGAATTCATTGATATTCACTTTCACATAAAAATCAAAAGCACAATTTTCACGTAGTGGTAACCAGCACAAAAAGGATCATTATCCATTAAGTTGAAGAGTATCTAGTGTCATAATTTTTATTTCAGCAGAATAAAATAAAGCATACAATTACTCATCAAACAAATAAAAATAGACGCAACCGTAAAAGTTCATCTCCTTTCGTATCTTAATTCTTATCCAACCAATATTTAATTCAGAGCGCACTCACCAATTAATATATATATATATATTGTTTTTTTTCTTAACCATCAGCATGAGCATGATCAACAGTAGTAGTAGTTCGCATTTTGAGTTTGGCCCGATTGATAAAGTGAGAAATTCTATCATTGAAACTGTCCCTTCTTGTGGTGGCCCGTTTAGTTACTGGGCCATTTTCATCACCAACAAAACTTGAATTAGCCTTGATCTTTTTCTTCGTCTCATCTATAAAATTAGTAAACTTAGAGTCATCGCTTGCCTTATTAATGTTCGTCGGGCCGGGCTTCATGGTTTCATTGTTGCTGTGATTATAATATATAGGTATTTTGTTTGAAATCGGGGTCTGTGGGCGGGCCGGAGAGACTCGGCGTTTAAAGGCCCTGAAAAACTGTCGAAATGTTCCACGGGACTGGGTTTCTGATTTGGTGTTCTTTGCCATTTTTTTTTTCTTCTTCTCAACGATATTTGTTTGTTGGTTTGTTTGTTTTAAACAAGAGGCAGATATTTATATATATATATATATTAGTACTAAGACAGTTCCTTAATCCCTAATCATTAGCTTTGATGTGAAAAGGACAAAGCCCAAAACATATTCCTCAAGGGATCATATTCCTCACGGCTTTCCCATACTTGCCTCTTTTTTCTTCTTTTTAAGCTTAAAAAAAAAACACATTTTCAAAGTCTCAATTTTGTACATATACATAGTTAATGACTAATAACCTATATACGGAATTTTTTGTACAATTTATTGAGTATCAAAATTTTATTTCTCTTAATATTTGTTTCATTTTATGTGACATTTTTCATTTTTTAAAAGTCAAATATTTTAACTTTGATTTGCGTATAAAATCTTCAAAATTTTTGAAATGAAATATATATATTTGTAAACTACGTAAAGAATACTATAAGTCACAATAATTGACAATTCAAAATGTTAAAAGGATATATGAAAATAAAAAATAGATGTGTTTGAATCTCGAAATATAATAAGTGTCATAGTACATATTTATGAAGAAATATTAGTATGCTGAAATTCCTGAGACAGCTATATGTGTAATAGTGCGCAAGTAACTAAAATTAAAGATGATGAGCATCAGATTCGAAAGGGGATTTCAAAGTCTCAAAAGTGTAGCAAGACTTTGGACAACAAACAGGAGATTGTTTGGTCGTAAGAATCGTGTTGAAAGACAATATTTATTTTTGGATTTGAAAATTGAGATATTTTAATAAAAAATAGTTACTAGCTCAAAATTTAAAATAATTAAACTTAAATAGACGAGAGAGATGTATATCCTTAGTTAGCGATTTGTGTGCAAGCTTTAAGAAATATATAATTGAAATTTCTTTGTATATACGAATCTAAATTAAATGAAGTGAATAAATAATTTTTAAAATAGAAAAAGAGGATAGTATTCAAAATCAACGGCTGACTAGATGTGCCTTGGGCAAGAAGAAGAAAATTGGAAGACATGAAATGTCAAATCACAGGCGAATACTAGGAGTAACACTGTAGCCGTCATTCCAGAATTTGTTTGGCTGGATTAATTGGTTAACTATTTTCAAGCATAAATTTCTCTCTTTATCGTTTTCTTCTTCTTAAAAAATAAAATAAAAAATAATTTTGTTGGATTGTTACCTACTAACGAATATAAATATGAAAAGTATAATGAATAAGAAAATGCGGTCTTAAAATTAGAAAAAAGTATTAGCACTAGTACATATATCTCATTTTAACAGTTGATAATAGACATTAGTCGAAAAAGAAAAAAGAACATTTTCATGACGAGTTAGATTGAATTAAGCTCACTCTTCATTTGCTTAACATATAATGTATCAAGTATCATTCTACCATTATTTTTGTTAAATCCAAATATAGAAAATGCCTAATTAGATTTTGAAAAATTGATCTGTTTGGAAATAAAATTTTGCCAAAAACGAGAAGTGGAAGTGCTAGTTTAACCGTTGAGATGGAGAGAGGCTATTATACATACATCATAATGACATAAAACTCTGACAAAATCCAGCTTTCAATACAATCTACAAGTTAATATCCGAATGATTTTTATGAGCGAGTCAGAAAATGGCCATTTCAACAAGGCAGCTTTCTGCTCAATGGCGAAAAGTTTTCACAACCTGCTCGATCCGTCTCCTACATAGTGGGCAGTTTGTCAAGTGTGAAGAGCACGTCATGCAACAGCACATATGACCACACCTGCGAAAACAAAATAAAATTTTAATTTCTACACAAAAACCAAACAAACATAAAAGTCCAAAAGTTTCGCATTAGCGCCTGGGCTGTCAAATTAATTATATTAGAGGGTGAGGACACTACAGCTTCAGTATCCTATCTGCTGTTCCAAGTAACAGTGTTGCCAGCCCGCTCTTATGGGCAATACTACAATGTTAAACAACAACTAACACCACCAGTCAGGTCTACCTTGTGAAGATAGAGAGGCTGTTTCGGAAAGACCCTTGGATCAACCCAACACAAAAACAAAAATAGGAATATCTGATGCCAAGTCTCAGAGATGCTCATTTTTTCAGAATCTCATTCAGCAACCTAAACAGGGACAAAAAGGAAGCTGATCCGTCATTAATCAAATCAAATGAACTCAGATATCCCTCAATCCAAAATAGTTTGAGAAGCTGCACGAGTCTCCATATCCATTCCACTCTATTTACACACTCCTTTCCACAATTTGCCATTCAAGATCTTTGTTGTAAACTAGTTATATCTGAATTAATTAATCTTAAAACAGTAGTTTTATCTTGAGTTAGTTGGTATTACTTATATGAACTCTACTTCTATTGTGCCAACACCAAACAAGTTGGGATTCGCATACAATTCCTAAAATTTTATCAATTAAGCAGCATAGCAATGTCCCAAAAATCTGAACATTTGAACATGTAGTGAACTAAAAGCCTTCATGAAAGGGTCTTACGGGACAAAAACTGAGTTGTATTCCTGCTCCAGACATATAACACATAGATCTGGCATTAAGAGGTCCTTATTATCCACTCCATTCTCAGCTGTAGCATCAGAACCTAAAAATAGAAAAGGAAACAAAATAAAATGATTAGTGAGAACCTAAAAATAGAAAAGATAGCAAAACAAAACAATTTGACTGCAAAGAAACCAAAAGGTTGAGACAATAAGGTGGAAGTATGTAAACCAAGCAAGCTTACCTTCATCCTCATCTCCTGCTCTTTTAGCAGCAGCAGCAAGAACTCTGCACGTGCAAGTGTTTCTCAAATTTAGGATTATCACTCAAAAAAGGTAAAATAAAGGAAAAACCAAAAAGTCAAAACTGTTAGTTGAAATGTACGGTGTTGTAACAACATCAATGGAAGAAATCCAGCAATATATGAACATAAAAATGGAAGGAACACAATCTATCCATATTTCAAGATGTTTAAAGCCAAAAGAGTTCTGTTAAGAAATCTAGACCACCAGAACTTTTGGCAAGGTCACATCCTAAACCAGATGAGTCAACCTTGCAGGATTGGAAATTTTAAAGGGAAAACAGAAGAGCAAAGTTACACTACTCAGGACTGTTTTAAGTTGATGTTAATTGGATTGACCAACCTAATCAATCTCAACCTCATAAAAACAAGCATCATATTAGCCAAAATGAAGTTCTCACTAATAGAATCAAGAATTCACCAAAACTAGAGAGAAAGCCAATAAAAGGACATACATATGCAAGTCATATGTCTATATCCTATACTAGCCAGGATAAACTAAGGATAACATTCCCTATAAGGACCTTATACAAAAGTGCTAGATTTGTAATAAATCTACTAACATGAAAAAAATGCACAAAGTATGCCATACTGCTTTATCTTTCCTATTATGTGGCGGCACCGTAATTAGCTGGGAATTTAATTATATTTGTAGGTAAAGCGGAGATGAAGTTCAATTATCTTGAGAATGGATGTGAATGCAACACTTGTCATTTTTGTAAGTTTGCTCTTGCACCTTCTTGGTGTTACTCATCATTGTCAGTAGTCAGTACCGTTATCAAATATGTATCAAAAAGAATCACCGACATTTTTTGTTTGGTTTAACAAGCTCCATAACTGATGAACCTCCGACACAAAGCTTTCGAAAAAAAATAAAAAATTAACAGCTTACTGATGTTATGAGGAGAAAACATGTTAGACAATATGTGTACCAAAAAGTAGACAACTCCCATAAAATAACACTTCTCTATGATAAGATAATAATTCATCTATACTAACAGGGACCTCGTGGGTGTGCCAAAAGTTAATCAATAATAAAAGGCAAGCCTAAGCAATGCAAAGTCATATTCCACCCTTCAAAAACTCTCCAATTCTGTTCCACCAAAATACTCACATAAGTGCCATACAGGCTAAATATCAAGCTCTTCACAAAGTAGGAAGGAGGTAAATACCAAGAAAATTACCTTAAGCTGAAAAATACTAGGTCACAAATATTTTAAGGGGCTAACGCTCACCTTAGCCTGCTACACTTTGCTTATCTAAGAATTGGGTCCTGCAATTTGGTGTTAGTGGCATTCATCAAAATATGTGTTCATAGTAATTTACTCCATTCATTCTCAGGAAGGGCGAGTCAACGGACTGAAAACATCCAATCAAGATACACATGTATAGCCTATTCTTGGGCACAAACCTCATCATCGTTGCTGCCCTCAGAAAAAAAGTCCATCTCTCCCATGTGGAAAAGAGCATGATATAAAGATCTTCCTCATTTTCTATTACAATTCAGTATAACATGTCTTCCTCAACTTTTAGTAGTATCCAGAATATGGTGCTTTCTTATTTGAGAGGGGTGCATTATGCGTAAGAACCTGATAATAGGTAAAGTCTAAGGACTCGTTTGGTGTGAGGAATTAAAAATAATAGTGATGGGATAAGGAAATAGTGACGAAATGAAAAAAATTATGTTGTTTGGGAATAACTCATCCCACCATTTATATCATAGTGATGGGAAAAGTTAATCAATATACATGGTGAGATAAGTTATCCCAGGATAGCTAATCCCGGGATAGTTAATCCTGGGATAACTAATTCCCAACCAAACGACCCCTAAAGATTTTTCCTGTCCCTACCAATGGCATCTTCAAATTATGCCTCCTTTCTAACACACGAAGTACATTTTGTGCATGAAAATGGAATATGCACCCATTGTTTATATGCATTGAAAGCTCCTAGTATTTTGTCATTTTAGGTACTTTCTAATTTGTTGTCACTAAACTCTAATGCAGTTTATGAACAAACACTTCGTAAATAACTCCCTGTAATAGATTCTGTCCTTTCTCTCGCTCTCCTGTTAACTTTCCCTCTTTCTCCCCTTGCTAATTTATACCCTCTATCTCGTCCCTCTGTCCTCTTTCTAGTACTGCATCAAATCCTCATCTCTAAATTACTACAAATCTGGCTTTACCATCTCTGAAGCATATCTTTTTTAAAAATTGTGGCGCTTAGTCCAGCTTGCAGGCACCTTGACATCTCCCAAAGCATCTTTTCCCAGCAGCTCATGTTATGCCCCAATTGAGCAAGGGACACAGGCAAAGAAGAGACATCTTAAACTGTTGCATCTCAGCTTATCCTTGAAATCAATCATGAACAGAAAGTATACTGAGGTACAAGTTGCAGCACCTACCCTATAGTAAATTGTACAAGCATCTCTAATGTACCCAAACATTTAAGTAGTGCTTTGATAGATACAAAACTCAGAAGGGAGGATTAGTAAGGGGCAAAAGAAAAAAAAAAGATAAAAGACTGCAGTTTTAGAAGTCTTGGCCTAAATATACCTCCTGCGCAATTCCCAGTGACGCTTTCTTTCCATCATATAATGAAAAGTATGCTTCACAAGTAGATATACACCGACAGCAGTAAAACCCATTGAAGCATACTTGTACCACCTGAAAGTAAAAGAACTTATCAATACTATGTACGAGGCTAAAACAAACAAATCCTGGGGGCGCCTTGACATACTCATGGGGGAATAGATATGTTCATGCAAGTCAATTCATGAACTTTTATTTTTCTAGACATATCTTTGTTGAACAGATATGATAGTGGAAAGGGTACTTGATACAGACCCTACAAAGTACACTACCAACCTAATTGAAGTAGAACGTACTCATGTCTATGAGCTTGAACATAAGATTGGATATGGGCATGTGAAAAAATATGTAAAATTAGTAGGGGAATATAGGGTTGATTACAGTTCGAAAGTACAGCATATCAACCTTGCCCATCTCCCAAGATTTGCAATGAGCTGGTCAATAGTTTTATGAGAGATATAAAATGGGCCTTTGTGTGGTCGCTGGATCCGAACTGTCCCAATGTCATCTTTGACAGCCTGATACAATCACAAAGGAAAATGAAGTTGATACACAATATACAGACAGCTCTTATATGCATCCAGCCCCCTTGGCGCACACAGAGAAGGGTCAACTAGTGTTCAAGCAGAGTAATGTAGTAGAAGTGAACAATGAATGCTCAAGTATAACTAAAGTATACTTGTAATATTGGATGCATTTTGATCCTCTTATTTCCTTGATAGCTATTTCTATAATCTATTTGCTATTTTTATTATTTCCCTTTAAAACTATTCTCTACCAATCAGGTCATGATGACCATGAAGAACACAAGGAATGACACATTAAAAGAAAGTCTAAACTCTGCATGCTTGCTTCCACTCGACTGTGACAAAACAACTGAATCATTTTATATATATTGAGGATGTCCATAGGTCTTGATATGTATTTTATGTAATTCAAGGACGTGCACCATTTAACCAGTTAGTTAAATATATGCAACTCTTGGATCATTTTGAGTTTGTTCTATTGTTGAATCCTCTCTGGAAGTCACCTCTTGTAATTGTTCTTGTTCTTCTTTCCTTCCAATAACCACAATAACGTGATGCAACAAAGATCTCTGGAAACTACACTAAGAGTTACCTTACAGAAAATAAAGAACTATATAGAAGGTGTTGAGAAGTAATTAAGTATATAGAAGGTGTTGAGAATTAATTAAGTATATAGAAGGTGTTTTGTTTCACTATCATTCTTCTTAGCTGTCATCAATTCTATTTACAGTTAGTGTCAGGAATACATTTTTTATGACATCAGTGTTGAGAATACATAGTGAACGACTAAAGAATAAGCTGACAGAGAGTTGCTACTCGTATCATCTGAATTCTGTTAATTTGTGTTACTTCTATGAAAATGTTGCAACTTTTTCTGCTCAAAAGGCATATCATACCTCGCCAACAACAGTCAAAGGAGTACCAACTGGCAGCACACGTTCAATCCTCTTTACTCCAAGCATCTTCAAAAGTAATCATCAATTAATGAACTTCACCAAAATACATAAAAGCATGGTCATACATGAACGGATATGTGAGTGACTGGTGAGAGTGGTTTCCTGCAATTCACTATGTTCTACACTTACGACGCTAATTAAAAATGGCGTTGGCCTCCTACTTGTGAAAATAATAGGTCAGAGTCAAAGTTACCTTCAAAATTTTTTTAGACACAAGAGTTATGAAAATACAAATTACAACCTGCAACAAACAGCAGTTATATGATAAAACAGACCTTAAGACCTTGAAGATAATCCAATGTCCCTCGCACAAATGATCTCCCTGCTTCCTCGAAGGCTTCACTTCCAACTGTCAGTACCAAACCCGTGGCACCACGGCCACCAACAATAAAAGTGCGACCTGTGCCATCATCCTGGTACACAAGTCAAAAACTATTAAAAATTCATACATCAAAGTAAAGCAGAATTCTTAAGAATTCATTTAAACAGCCTACAGGACTATTAAGATAAAAAGACAAAAGGAAGTCATTCCAACCAGGTACCACGGAACTTCTTTACACATTGAGAGCATCAAGGCAGAATCCTGTATCCAAGAACCTGCATCATTGTGTTTCAGAAAATGTTGTTCGGCCTGTAATAATATCAAGAACATTTAACAAAACATCATTGAAAAGAAAACAAACATTTTATGCTATTATTTAAAGAACGAGATAACATACAGTTTCTTCCACAATCACGCCTCGTAGACCACTGTACTCACAGTTAATTGGTGTATCTGATCCAACCCTTCCAGATATAGTAACCACCAGAGGCAACACCTTGGATGCAGTATCTAGTAGTTGTGCTAAAATAAAAGGAGTACAAAGATAATTCAAGGTTGAGAGAATGCACTAACAAAAGGTACAATAAGATATATACAACTATCCAATATTAAGTTCTATATTCTAGAATTTGTAATGCCTCTGATCTAACAGATATCCCTCTTTCAAATATCATGAACAGCCTCATGTTCTCAGCTACTCCACTAATTCGCTGAGCACCTTCATAACTAAAAGGAACACAGGAAGATGAGGATATCCTTGTCTAATGCCTCTACTACTCGTAGAGAAACCAAAAGGAGATCCATCCAGTTAAAAGAGGAAACTCAATTTGCATGGTCACACACCTTTCCTCCATCCACTTTGAATAGTATCCCCAATTTACTCGAACTTACCATGGGACTGATGCGCCTAAGTATATCATCTAACACTGCCTGACTCTCATTTGGTGCCAAAATAGAAATTTTCCCTATGGTCGAACATACTACCTCAAATGAGTTACAAGTGTAGCATGATATCACACACTAAAACTAAAAATCCATCTGCTCTTTTCCCAATGGATAAAAAGTTAGTTCTTTTTCTTATGAACGATGGATGCAGTAAAGATATGACGCAACCTCCTTGTACTGGTAATTGAAACGTCTGCTGAAAGTAATTAGCGGAGAGACTAAGCCATCCATATGAAATTACAAATTTACTTACCAAGATCCTTCAATTGATTAACCCTTGTAACGGATTTAAGAACTTCAGCATCTCTGTATTAGAAATCAAATCCATCTAAATTCATGGACATAAATATACACAGTAGAGCAATGAAATTGGAAGAAGAGAAGTTCAAACCTTCCACTGCTCCTACCGAGAAGGTAAAGAGCAGCTGCACTCAAACAGCAAGAGAGTCCGGCCCATGGAACCATTTCCGGTAGCTCGAAGGGATAATAGAACCTAAACCTAACGAATGAAATTATGACTAAGCAACACAAGTTTCAGGCGACAAGCAATCATGGAAAAACAAAAATAGAGCAATTACAGAAGGGCAGAGCATATGTGGCTTTATAACAGTAAAACTGAAGAGACAAATTGGGATTAAAAAATAAAAGGAATTTGAAGAAGCTGACACTCCATAAGATGCTAAGAGTGGTTGAGAGGAAACTTGAGAGTGCAGTTATGTTCATGCTCTTTATCTACCTCTCCTTCAACAACTCTATAATCCATCCATCCACTTCTTCTTCTTCTTCTTCTTCGTTTTTTTTTTTTTTTTTTTTTGTAGCCATAAAATAATTTGGGAGTATGAGATAAATGATGAAAATGAAGTTTTGTTTTACCATGATTTAGAATTTTTATTTATAAATATAAAAAGTTCGTAAATTGTAAAATTATTAAAATTATCTTAATTTTTTATACAAAGTCTTAATAAATTATTAAGTAAAAGTTTATAAAATTTTATAATACACTGTTATAAATATGCTCTTAAAAAATTATGACAATATTTATTGATCAAAATTCAATCAATAAAAAGAATGAAGTTAAACATATATAAATTGTGGTGTATTAACTTGTAATATACTTGGCCCAAACAATCTTCTCATGTAATCATCGTTCATGTAACCGAGAAAACAAATCAATATTATTAATTTAAATCATTTATGGGTCAATTGGTTGATAAATAAATTTTAATAAAAGATATGATGAATATAAATGATTTATTGAGAAATTCATTTGAAGTAATAATGAGTTTTATGTTAATGAAAATAATTATTATATAATATGAATTAATATTTTTATTTACATATGAAATAAATGATTTGTAGATATAAGGTTGTTTTTACAAAATATAAAAATTGTGATATAATTTTGTGAGTCCATTTTTGTATTAGGAACAGGCCTAAATCATGATTTTTAAAGAATATGAATTTCATGATATGATATGAAATTATGAAATTAAATCAGCGTGAAATTATTTCTCCAAACACTAATTTCATATTATAATTTTATATTGCGATATAAAATTATATATCCAAACACATAAAAAAATATTTTTATAAATATATACCGACCTTTTTGTACATGTATACCAATAAATAAAAATAAATGATACGTAATACAAATCTCGATTTTAGGCTTCTTTCAAAAGACTAAATTGACATGTAAATCTTATACATTCACAGTTGAATTTTATTCTAATACTAGTACTAGATGAATAAGTGATACTTTATAATAATCAAAGCATTCAAAAATATTAATGGATAAAAAAAATAATTTATTCAATATAATAATGAACGAAATAGATGTCATCAATGAGATTCAAAAATTAATTAATTACTTAGTTATTCATTGACGAACTTTCACATACAGTCACTAAAAAATAGTCTAATTACTCTCCATGATTATAGTTTAATAATTACAATTTGTAGTTACATATTATAGAGATGAGAGAGGCGAGCGAGACAGAAGAGAGAGATGAGCAATTAAGGGGAAAAAATGACAGAGAGGTAAATTGTATATGTATTTAGTTAGATAATTGTATTATACATATGTATTTATATGTATGGCAAGCAAGATTAAGAGAAGAACGAGAGAGACGAAGGAGATTGGAAGAGGGAGGGAGAGATGAGCGAGACTGGAAGAGGGAGGAAAGAGGAGAGCGAGAGAGGGTGGAGAGTGGGAGATACGTATATCGGTTAAATAATACATATGCACTTGTATATATGACAAGTGAGATTGAGAGAGAAAGGGAGAGATGCGACCGAGATTGGGAGAGAGAGGAGAGAGGTGAGTGATAGAGGGCAAAAAATGGGAGAGACGTGAATTGTATATGTATATCGGTTAGATAATTGTATATTATACATATGTATTTGAATATTATGACGAATTATACATGTGCAAGTGTGACTAATTATATAAACTTAAAGTTAGCCCACATAATTAATGTATGATGTTAATCGCGAGTGGTAATTATAACAAATTATAGCTACGATGGGTAATTAAGTAATAGAAGGCCTCATTTGTTTTTCATTAAGATTAAGAGGTATGAATCTGAATGTTAAGATTTGCATTAAGATTTGAGTGTTTTGATATGAATACACATCTAAATATTAAGACGTGGTCTCTAAATCTGAACAATAAAGAATAATGTCGTTTGTTTCCAATATCTGAATGTGCAAGTGAAATTGAACGTATAAATAAAATATTATAAAAAATTTCATTTCAACAAATTATATCACTTTTGATAAAAAAAATAATTCAAAAGTTTTAATAGTCATCATTTGGGTACTATTTTTTAATTCAAAAACCTTGATAAACAATAATATATCAAAAAAATTATGAAAATCATTCTTGACACACGTCAATACAAAAATATTATTAATATAGACAAAAATACTTAGAAATTATAAAAACTTTTCAATTCAAAAAGAAAAAAAAATGTTTGATTGAGAAAAGTGAGGAATAAAGTTTTTAGTTATAAGATAAAAAGGAACGCTCAAAACAGAGAAACGATGATTTATTATTTGATAACTTATCAAATGAGTCTGAATGTGTCGATCTGATTCGTTCAAACCCATCATCTTTCGTTAAATGCATACAAATAAGGCCTAAGTTTGCTTAATGACATTATTTTTCATTACTCAATTAGTAATTATTATAGCAAATTTCTTTTTTTCTATTAAACAAATAAAATTGAAAATAAGAAATTTGTCTTTTGTTTTGAAATAATAATTAGTTGAGTTGAGAATTGAGGTTCACTTGCCCTACTTTTCCAGAATTGAGTGTCTCTGAAATTGGGAGTTTTGTCCGGTGAATTTGAAACTAAAGGCATCATTCATCAGTTTTGTCCGGTGAATTGGAGTTGTAAGCTGCCCTTTTCCTATCTCTCTCTCGCACTCTCTTTTCTACTGCTGCCGATGCTTGTTTCACCTTCACACCAAAACCCTAGTCCTTCTTTTTCATAGAGCGAGTACGATTTTTACTATTATTTGTTGTTGTTGTGTTTATATGTATAAATATAGCCTTACCTTCAATTTATCATTGTTTTATGTGATTCTAGTTTGCTTTCCATTTGAGGTGTTCCTTTGTGGTTATTTCTGTTTATGAAAACAAAGTTTACTTTCCATTTGAGGTGTTCCTTTGTGGTTATTTCTGTTAATGAAAACAAAGCTGGAAAAATTATTTGTTTTAATCAGCTATGGCCAGAATTTGGGATGAGAGAACTTGACTTTCAAGTCATTTACCAATTCCCTTTTTCAATTGATTCAAATTGCTCCTTAATTCAAATAAAGATATTCAAACATGTGTTTGAGTTTTAAGATTAATATGCTAGAGAATTTGATAGGTAATATCCATGTAAATGATACTCCCTCCTTTGAATGTATTAGTGAATTTGAATTATTAAAACTTGTTAGTTTTGTGTTGAAATGGAATATTATGATATTAATTGGAATCATGAAAGTTCTAACATTTTTGTTACTTAACGTATACTGTATGAAATGTCAGATTTCTGGCAGCTGAAGCCCGAAAAACGTGTGAACTGACGAGCTTTCCCATAGAAATAGAAAATGGTAATGTTACTCTATCCTTTTCCTCTTGATGTTTATTCCTCACTATTCAGTCTAATCCCTTTAATATCTATCTCCATTGAGTTTTTTAATGAAAAAAGAGATCTTCTGATTGTTGTAGTTTGGAAATTCCGATTCCTTCATGAAAATCAATCGTTTTCATAGCTTTTATATTTTTAACTTGTATCTAACTGAGTTTTCTCCCATCCCACTCTTTCCAGTTGTTTTTCTCATACTTCAAGGACATGGTGGGCAGAGAAGTGACAGTGGAACTGAAGAATGATTTGGCTATCCGAGGTACACTCCATTCAGTCGATCAGTATCTCAACATTAAGCTCGAAAACACAAGGGTCGTTGATGAAGACAAGTACCCTCACATGGTAATTGCATTCCCTTTTCTCCTTCATTCGGGTTTTGGTGGGTGGATAAAGTAATGCTTCTTGATTAGGAATGCTAACTTCTGTACTTTTATATACAATGGTTGTATTGTTAAGCATGCTAGAGTTCTCTTAGGCCTCTGACAATTTTGGGTGAGTAAGTTAACCACTAGGGAATTCAGTAGTGTTCACTGCTCTTTCTTCCATATCTTTACTATACTTGTTTCTTATTTCTGCTGTTGATTTCTTTTAGGAAGTGATATTCAGTTATTCACTGCTCTCTCTCTCTCTCTCTACACACACATATATTCAAGAATTGATATGCAACTCGGCTTTAATTATACTGTTGAGGTTCATTCTATTTTCTGCGTATATGCAGTATGCACTAGGTGGAAGGATGGTATCTGTTCCATAATATTGTGATTGTAGTTCCAGCGAACCAATAGTTCTTTTAATAGCCATTGACTGTAGTTTTTTTGATAGCTATTGACTGTTGGTTGGATATGTGCACTGGAAAAGGTTAATGATTTGTGAATATTATTTTGATGATATCAAGCCTTTTATAAAGCACCTGCTGCTTCAATCCTTCGAGGTTGGAGGCCCTAGTCGCCAAGGGAGTGAAGTGGAAAGGGCCACTATGACATGGGGAGGGAGGATTAGGTGGAAAGGTAGATGTAGCCATGTAGGTTACCATATATAAAAGCAAGAAAAGTATCCTTGACAATTCGCATACTAATGACTGCATTATTGCAAGGCTAAGAAATGGTAAGCAATAGGGTCTAAAACAGTTATTCCTTATCAATTTGTCAAGAATTTATCTGAATCAACTATTGCCACATATGACAACTATTAGTTATCAAAAATGACAAACTATTAATGTTATACAGGTTTTTCTTTAAGCTACGTGATCTTGCAGATCTAATGCCTGAAATGTGAAATGAGTACATTACACTATCTCTAGTCGCAAGTTTCTGAGTGGGTTGTATTAGCTTGACTGGATTATTTTATTTCTCGAAATTTTCCTATGTATAGATCATCTAGTATTCATGGTTAAATATGTTAGCTATTATTCCAAGGTTCTATTTAAGTTAATTCCAGCCTGGAATTGCCTGTTATGGATACAGGAATCTAATGCCAATTCCAATCAGTGGATCATTTTAGTAGGTGCTTCATCAAATAGGCTTAAATCATTAATTAACTTGTCGTGCAAATTCAGAACTAAAATTATGTGGCAAGGTTGGTCTCCAGTATGTTGCCCTTTCCACTATCAGCTCTTTTTTTTAGTAAGTACTTCAATTAAAAAACAAATCCAAGACATAGGAGTGAGGTTTTTACCCTGTGCACACCCAAAGGGTAGCGTCTGCGGGTTTCCCTTGCCATTTTTTTTAAAAAAAACAGTACCAAGATGGTACTGCAGCTTTCTCTGGATCATACTACATCATTGACCTAGACCATCTTTATTTTTATGGCAACACAAAATATCAGCAGTCTTTCGGACACAACTTCTTTACCTCACACAAGGTAGGGGTAAGGTCTGCATCACACAACCTCTCTATCTCTGACTTACACTAGGTTTGTTGTTTTTGTTGTGCAACTGGAACTGGAGAAACAGTTGTCAGAAGATTTGTATATAAGATAAATCTCCCAAGTATGCAAGGGTATTTTGTTGTTGCTGCACGGAGAGTAGATAGCTTACAGTTTCTGCCTTACAAAATCCGGAAAAACAATGTAAAAGTAGCCTTTAAGCAACTACTTGCAAGCCTTTGCTTGTGCACAAGACATGCAAAGTTCCAGAAAATTACAAGTACTAAAAATATATGCAAATATAATAGTATGTTTACTGGTTGACACTGGTGTATTTAGCAGTTTCACCCTCTCCTTTTTTACTTGGTTCACTTTGCTCCGCCTTTTCCTGATATTGTTTGTATTTTTTCACGTGATATGTTTTTAGTTGGTATTACCATTAACATTTTTCATGTCACTTTGCTGTAATAGCGTTCGGTGAGGAACTGCTTCATCAGAGGATCAGTGGTGAGATACGTCCAGTTACCTCCAGACGGAGTCGACATAGAGCTGCTTCATGATGCTACGAGGAGAGAAGCTCGTGGTGGCTAAAAGCCTAAAATTTGAGACCTTCAAAAGCGGATGTACTTTTAAACTTTTGAGTGGGTCAATCAGCATGTACTGATTTGTTTTGTTAAATGTAATTTTAGATGCTATTGCATGCAGTGCTTTGTATTCCTGCTGTTACTCCTCTCCATTTCAACCTAACTGTGTGGTGAAGCCTTGGATATGAATGTCTGGGACTCATATTCCCTTGCCTACTGCTCGTAGAAGAGAGAGAAATTTATTTTAGAAAAAGTTGTACAATGAATGGTACACTTGGATTTTTTAGTTTTTAAAAGTGCACACTCCAACGTGATAGCGTTAAACCATTTTTGAACTCCTTAGCCAATACATTATAATATGCAATGAGAGAGGAATCGATCGAATTAACAAAAAGAAGAAAGATACGAGGATCGGACCCAGTTAAGATAGCTATTGACTCTTGCTATTAATTAATTAAATGAGCTCCTTAAATAAGTTGCCTAGAGTGGAAATAAAATCACTATTTTTATACTCAAATCCCGTATTGTGGGCAAGAGATTTTACTTTTAAGAACTAAAAAAAATATTTGCACAATATTTAGATCACTTATTACAAGAAACTTTCTTTATATATATATAGGAGAAGCATTAATTTTTGCCATCATAAAAATGGTAGTCATTACATGTCCTAGTAATAGTATAATACTAAGTTTTTGCACTACCTAATAGAGTTTAAAGCTTTCGTCTCTCCTTTGTCCTTGTCAAGAGCATATTTGGTTTTCTTCATACTCTAATTTCTTGGTATTTTATTACTTAATTCGTAACACTTATCAATAAATTTCCAAATCCTTGTTAATTTTATATCAATGTTGTTTGTGTAGGTGACAAACTGGAGAAATCACTTGTTCTTTGTCTTCTTTATCAAGTCATCTTGATGGAACACAGTCCCGATGATCCTGTATTATGATTATTATTTTTAATTTATTAGTAACATTTAAAAGGCTTCTATAATAGTTTTTAAACATTTCAGGTCTGTGTGATAAAAGTTGAAGTCAGTTGTTGTACAGCATGCCAGAGAAAGTTGAGGAAAATTCTATTAAAGATAAGTGGTATGTTATTCATGTTAATATTACACTAATTGTACAAGTATGTCTCATATCTTTCATAGTTCAAGTTTTATGCATTTATTTAGTAACTTCTTTGACTAGCTTTAACTTCAAATTTACAATCATCGATTATTGGCCTGATAGTGTAAACTATTTTTGTGATACCAAGTTAAATGTTTTTACATTGGAATGATGTTATATATGGTAGGTGTGTTGGAAGTTTGTTATGATCCAAGAACAAACTTGGCTACAATTAGAGGCAATTTTAATCCTTTGATGTTGATTGAAGCCATTAAGAAAAAGGGGAAGAAGGCTGAGCTGATATCTTATTCCAAGAATCCCCTTTCACATAATAGTAGAAACTCCAAAGAAGCAGCTAATTGCCATACTAAGGACTACAAGGGCAAAGCTAAAGTTGGTGATGACACAAATTGTTGGAATAGTAGTGATGATGAGACTTGCGATGACCAGGATTATTATGTGTCATCAAAGTGTGAAGATTTTGTTTCAAAGAAAAAATATCATAAAGCTGAAGCTTATGTGGCCCCTCAAGGAGTTGATCCTACCATCTGCAGGTATGGACTCCATATATATCAAGTTAAGAGTCAGTCAGGATTATTGGTCAAACTCATCCATCATTCATTATTAAACTCTGTCTCTAGTCGCATAAAATGAATATATTTGCAGGGATCACTACTGCAAGATACATAGAAGAGGTGGAGGCATGCGAGATTATGTTACTCAAGAAGAAAGACAGAAAAAGTATGCTATGTTCATGCAAATGGGAGGTCACCCTGCTGGAGACATGCTTCCTCCATATCAATATGGCCATTATGGTCCAGACCTGGATTATGGGTTTTATCAGCCCATGTCAGGGTTAAATAACTTCACTCGCACTTGCACCATTATGTAAGTGCCATATTTTGTCAACACTGATTTTTAGTTTGGTTTTTACACACAAGTTATCAACTACTTTACAACTTTTCATCACCATTTTGTTTTCATTTGTGGTGCATTATGTGCTTAAAGAAGGACCTACCCTCATTGGCTCTATTTTACAGCGTCTTATCTTGTATTTTTGAGAGACTATTTTCAAGAAAGATTGATACTTTCTTCACAAACAACGTGTCAATAAGATTATAGTAATCCCTGTTCTTTTTCTATTTTTTCAACATCAACAGCTTTTCAACGGGTACATTTTCACTGCCATCTTTGATATAGAAGGCCTAACACAAGTTATAAGGAAATCAAACACCATGATTGTAATTTTTAACTGCTTTTGGTGTCAAATTAAAAAACGAGCTGAATCTCTGAGGCTGTCTTCTGATCTTCAGAAGTGCCATTAGAAACAGTCTTGCTACTCCGTCTACAAGTCCTCTTGGTAGCAACAAGTGAATTTTTTCCCTCATCGTTAATTTCTCTTGATACTTCAAAATCGACCCCTTTGAGAACAGGGTGCAAATAAGCATCCTGGAGATATTCTTTCAAGTTAAAGTTTGGTTCTGTGGTCCGTTCTACTGTATCCTTCACCACCGCGTCCTGCAGAGTGCATCTTATGCATTCATAGTTGAGTATACCAACGGGTACGTTTATGCTAGCTAACAGCATCCTAACAAGTGTTGTAAACATAACTTAACACAACTATGAACATCAAAAGGGTAAGGTCGAAGGAACACTAACCTGCAATGGGAATCTGACAAACACAGACTCAAATCGTCCCTTGCAAAACTTATGGAACCAGATTGTCAAAACTGTAAGTACTATCAGCAATGGGGTTGATTGGGAAGCCTCTTTGGTGCTCAGTAGACCGATTAATAGAAGGTGGGATATGACCAAACCTATAAGTATACGACGATTGACATCTGGCCAAAATGATGCACCACTCTCATACTTCTGATCGTACACATTAATGATCTAGCATCAAAGAAGCAGTTTGTTAAATTATTATTATGTGTTTGTAAAAAAGTAGTAGGAAAACAACATACCTGATGGCGGAAAACCATATAAGAGAAGGCAAAGAAGATAATGATGAAAGGCAGGAGTATTGGTGTGACCACTGAGTAGACAAGGCCTAGTAGGAAGTAGAGTTGTAAGCGAGGTTCTGATACAGAAAAGTTTAATGAACCAGGGTCCATTGCTTCCTCCCTGTCGTGCTCTGTCTTTACTAGAAATGTATTTTTAATGTGAAACATGATTAGAGGAACCAATCTAAGGATCTCTGCAGCAATTCCAGCCCAGCCATCAACCATTATGAAAGTAATAAAAAAAGTAGCTTTCATCGGAAGAGTTACACCAATGGTTTTTGGGATCCTGCATTGGAAGTGAATGTTAAGAATTGCATACAAAGCTAAGTATCGTTTTTGGTTAGCCGAAACTCACTCTGTTGGAGACTGGTGGAGAAACCTGTCAAGCTGTTCAAATGCAGCACCAGTAATAATACTTCCAAAGAAGACATTTACAATGACAAACAAATGATATTTAGCTGCTGATCTTCTGTCCAAAGATGAAATTGATGTAAAGCCTTCTATTTTGGACATGATCATTAGAATCATAGGAAGAAGAATCAGAAATATCTTTAATACAATCCCGGGTAGAAAACCTTGTACAAATGATTTTACAAAATCCCTGCACCACAAACTTTAGATATTGATTTAATTTGAAAAATACAGCAAGGTCAATATATATATTCAAAGCTAAGTTTGCAATTTAGAAGTAGCTGCTACAATTCACACTTAATAAATGTACTTGTTTACTTCCCAAGAAACATTGGTGGTAACCTATAAATATAGATACAAGCAGCACACATTTAGCAAATTTAGAAGGATCACATACATATCTATTAATGGCTTCAGGAATGGAAGAACCTTTCTGATGCCATCAATGCTTGCAAATGCTTGAACAAATCCAATTGGGATCATAAAAAAGAAAGTAAGAAAGAACAAAGCAACAGCCATTAGAAGTCTCCGTAGAGAGAGTTGAATATATGGTATTGAAAGATTATCCCAATAGACATCACGTGGTTCAGGAGCCCATTCTGTCAACCAAATGGTTGAGTTTCTTGACTGTTGTGTTTGAGCACAAACAGCTGCTCCCCAACGAGAGTTGAACGAGACAAATGCTGCAGACACGATTGCATTGGGCTCACTTTTAACCTTTTCTCTTTCTTCAGCTTCCTACATCAAAACAGAAAATCCAATATGCTAATGAAAATGTCTACATTAGTTCACCTCACACAAGCTTCCATACCTACCTTAGTTTCAGTTGTATAATAGTCAGAGAAACTTACTTCTTTTGTCAACTTCTCAATTTCAGTTGTATAATAGTCGATGGCGTCCACAGATTTTCCCCAAAGCCCCCAAAATCCTGTCTATAAGAGACTCAGAAACAACAGTAAAATGAAAAATGAAACAAAGGATAATACCTTAATTTTTTGTTTCTTCTCAGGGTTCCTCTCATTCTTGGTTTGGTAGTAAGTAAGCCAATTATGGTAACTCTTTTTCTTCTCCACCAATTTAGCAAGCTTATTGGCATTGTAAACAACCTAAAAGTAGCATCAATTTAAGATAATGATCTGAATGGAAAGGGTTCTACATTACTCAGTAGTATCTATCCCGTCAAATACTTGAAACATAAATACAAACCTGCTGTGTAAGATAATGATCTGAATGATTGACACGAAAAAAATGTTCAACATGCTTGCTCACTGATTCATCAGGATCTGGTGGGACGTTTCTAACAAGGACCTATGAGAAGAGTCAGATATTGTATAGGTGTATTTAGAAACACTCATAACATTAAAATATGTGAACACTCACCGTGAACTGATCTGGCCTACGTTTTTCAGAGGCAAGAAAATCTAGTCTCATTGTTGATATTTTCTTGTATTCTTTGTACAGAATATACAAGGTCCAAAGTGTGTATACATAAGCCATCACCACGTGTGCCCATAACCTGAAAGAATATAAAACTAATTCTGTAATGACATATTGGCATCAGTTCAAATTTTGTAAAAGCAGCCTTCCATTCCTTGGTAAACATTTCTTATTATCTTCCGTGTAGAAACTATAGGTATAGGTTATCATGGATATGGAGGGAGTGCTATTCTCTGTTTTGCGTTAAGAATTGAAGAAAAACCCTACAGACAGTATATTGATGTATTTTTGAACCCTTCCATATTAAAGTGCATTTAATTGTCAAACATTTTGTACCAACATGAAGCTGAGGTGTTCATATACTAAAAGGAAATTAACCCTCACCTCTTTGATCCTGAAGGAACATTGGATATGGAAAGTTTATCAATGTTACTGAACGTTAGATCTTCAATGTGATGTAATGTTTCCCCACAAGTCCAATTAACAGGCACTAAAACCGCAAAAGAAAGTAGTGTGATTGGAACAAAGATCTTCAAGCTGCATTGATAATTCAGGAGTTAGATACTCAAAAAATTTGCAAGTACTATATCATAATTAACCCAAAGACTCACCCAAGAAGGTACATGCGTATATAGACTGCAGAATCAAGACCAGCATGACTTATAAGCTCTTGTTCAGGCATTTTTAGAGCTGCAGGCATCCAGTTCAAGAACCTAATGTATGTCCTAAAGTCCAAGTTGACAAATTTATTGACATATGATCCAGAACTTCTAGGACTTGCTCGTATACCCTTCAAATACCATTTAGGGAAGTATACTCTGTCATTGATTGGCTGAAGCCGTGCAATTGCAAAGGCCAAAAGGAAAACAAGTGCAGATATAAGGTTGATCACAGCTGAAACAGAAATATCTTTAACACTAGCCATGTCTCCCTTCAAGTGTTAGCTATCAGTCATTCCGAAGACAGATCAATCTCCGTTCCTAGTAGTTATACGTCTGACGCCAGAGTTAGAGCTGGTAAGCATAAAATTCATTGACATTATTAATGCATATGAACAAAGAGGGCTCTTTCCTATTCCAGAAATGTTAATGGATCAAAGTTGGTGATAATTAATATAACTTTAAAATCAATATCTAACCTTGGAAATTAAGATGACTCGAAATATCAGCTCCAGAAGAATATTCAAGTAAGGAACTAACCAGAAAAATTGACTCTATAGCAAAAAGAAGTTTGCTTTCTTTTGATCATAAAGGGTTAGAAGATTTGGTTTGCTTGCTTAGAAAGAGAGAGGACATTCTTAGCTGCGAGGGCGGCAACAATAACGGGGACGGTCGGCTTCTCGAGGAACGAGACCACGTGTTATATAGGCGTGTAATCACCAAAGTACACGAGACCATTTCACTCAATAAATGAAAAGTACACTATAATATCTTATATTTATAGTATAAACCAATAGTGTCGTTACCAATAAAGTAAGTTGAGATTAGTGAAGAAATATGTTGACTGTTTGTCGTGCGGGCAACCAAATTTTGTTATTTCTGAACAGTATCTATATCAAAACTGTTACCTCTCTTGTACAATAATAAAATAATATAACCTCCAAATTCATCATTTTAGATTCCATAATTCTTCTTTTCAACTACAAAGTAAAATTTTCTCCATCTCATCTATATATCTATATATATATATATATTATATTGTGGAATTAATGAGTAGCTAATATTTGCTTTAACATAGCTGATCGTGCAGATTGCCCTTTTTATTTTTCAACTTGTAATGTTTCTACTTTTTCTCTTGTTCTTTTTGGAAAAAGATTATAATTGATTGGCTAGTGACAAGTTTTTCCACTGGAATTTCTTAAGAATTAGAAACTTCAAACAAATCATACACTTTAATTGAAATCAAATCATCCACACAGAAAATTTCATATTCTCAAGTTAACAACAAGCTGAACTACAAAAATGATCCTGCTTGCTAACTTCGGGGATGATGAACATCAAGAAGTAAGCCCGTAATTCAGAGACCCATTTATTACTATCTGATTCTCGCGATGAAAATAGCCGCCGCCGCCGTCGTCAAATCTCCGGTCAGCTTCCTCACTCTCACCTTCATCATCAGACGATAAAGGAACCAGCCAACAAGCACCATATAAGTGCCCATTAACACATACAAAGTACTCCAATCCACTCTCCATCGAACCAAGCCGCCGCGCCGCACTTTTGGGTATGAGCCGAGCCGCCGTCATACTCCAAACCCGAGCACGACAGAATGGACACTTGGCTCCTTCTTCAAGCTCCACTCGTCTTCTGATCAAACTCGCCCTTGTCCTAGATTTCATAAACCCCCAAAATACCCCTCTGAAAAGCCCCAAATCATCGCTCCCAGTTGAATGTTCACACGGATCACTCACGTACAGCAAATCACTTGTACATTTCTTCACCAAAAAACTCCGACCGGATGTCTTCGAAAACCGGGATGTTTTCACGAAGTGACCCGCTTCCGGTCGGCACACTTGGAAATGCCGGGTCGATTGACATCCATTGCAGAAGAACATCAATTTTGCCATCGCCTGCCATCCGCCGCCAATTCTACCGCCGTCCGTTAAGGCCGTTATCATTTGCGGAGCTCGATACACGCAAAGCTCTTTCCATAGAATCCTTCTCGCAACTGCACGTAGTTTCCTATTTACCGAGGCTGTTCGACATAGTGTAGGAATATCCCAATTCATTGAGGCAAACACCAAGATAAGAATCCTCTCATTGTAAATTCCAGAATCTTCCGATTCGGACGACTCTCCAACTCGCCGTCTTTGACTCCGATTGTCACTCATACTTACTTTCCGACGAGAATGTGGATAGACTTAAATAAAGGGATAAATACCTGGCTACGTGCTTCTCTTTCATTGGATGATAGAGACCATACCAGATATGATATTTCTTCAAGTCAGCAAGGATCCATGGACACGTATCCTTGCTCAGTGGCTCGAAAACGTGGCAGGGCTATAAATATTTGGGATTTTAATATATGCTTGTGACAAGTGATGTGCGTACAAGTGTTTCTTGAAACAACAACTAACACGTATATCATTTTGACGAGAAGAAAGGACAAATCGATCTAAGTAGCATTTTATATCTATTACAAGGATTTCTTTTTATCTGCAGTTATGATAAAAACTTATTTGTGGATTTAAATTATATATTATAATATAGAATTATTGATTAAAGACGTATGTTGTCTTGCCCTAAAAGGTACTGTACTATATATATTGCTTTTATCTCATGACAACTTTTGTTACCAAAGTTAGACATGAAACTTTATTCTTTACTTGATCTTTTTTATCTCCAGGTTCCATAATCTGTGCAATAACAAAAATAACTAAAGGCAACAATATATTTACGATAGATAATTCACTACTAATCGCAAAAACTAATACGAATTAAAAGATCAAATTTAATAAACTTCTTCAAAGTATAATAGATTATAAGTGAAAAGAGGGGGAGGGGAGGGGAAATTTTATGTTACAATTCTTTGATTTTATCAAATAAATAGGAGTTAATGTTTATATATATGTCAAATTAAAATTAAATGACCAAGGCAATAAGATAGGAGAATTATATTAAATATCGATTTTTGCCAAGAATCTGTTTTATCTTTCTAAAACCCCATTATATGGATGAGGTTGTTGTGAGAGTATCAAAAATCAATCCACCCTCAAGGTTATGTTTTTTACAGAATCATTTTCCTCTCGATCTTTTCAATGTGTCCAATTTGCAAAGAAAAGGATATTGTAGAATGCTTCTTCTTCCGACCCCAATTAATTGTTTTTTTTTTTTTTATTAATATGGTATGACAGGAAGAGATTTGTTGAATTGGAAATTGGTTTCGTTGAAACTCCATCACATTTTTGAATCAAATGAGTTGCCAAACTGGCTACAAGTTGAAAAGTTAAAAAGTATTGGATACAACTTAAATAGTGCAATTCTTATTCTTAGCATTATAAAGTGTGAGACAACGGCCCACGTTTAGTCCAATGGATGAGGCAGCCCATGTGCTAATACGACGTCGTTATAGTGTTTTTTGAATAACCCTGGCGCTCTTTGCCCTAAACTTGAGGTCGTGTTCGATCTGCGCTTCGACTTAAGCCCTAGCGTCTCTTCAATTTCTTCAGCAACAATGAAGCTCGTTAGGTTCATGCGATATCTTCATCTTTTGAGTTTCTTTTCCAGTGTGCTTAGCAATGGATTTAACTTTTACCTTTTTTTGTGCAGATTTTTGATGAAGCTGAACAACGAGACTGTCTCAATTGAGCTCAAAAACGGCACCGTTGTTCATGGAACCATTACAGGTCACCCTCCCTATCTTTCTGTCTATTTCTTTGTTATCTATATTTAGGTATTTCCCTGTCAAGTCTAAAATGAACAATCTGAACGTATGTAATTGCTGAATTGCTCGCTCCAATAGGTAAATTAAGAATGTGCTTGTATAAAATTCATTTCCTGGGTTCACAAGTTTTTTGGTAGTGTCGCTAACTGAAAGTCTAGTTGCTGGGTGGTATATGGAAGTTGCTGAACTACAACAATAACATACTACCCAGTGTAATTCCACAAGTGGTGAGGTCTTGGGAGACAGAGTGTTTGCAAGCCTTACCCCTACCTCGTAGTGTTAAAGAGGCTGTTTCCAATAGATTCTCATGTTTAAATAAACCATTTCCAAACCATTTTTTAAATAAAGGATATATAAAAATAAGTGCTCATGACAGACAAGTGAGGTTTTGCTCAAGTAGTTGAGCACTTCCACCATCAACTAGTAGGTTGAGGGTTTGGGTCAGAGGATAGATGGGAACACTATTGATCCTTCTAGTCTCATGGGGGTGGGGTGGAAAAATGGAGCAACAACAACAACGAAAGCAAGTTGCTAAACTGTCTTTGGTTTATGCCACAAGTTAAGTTAGTTCATAGCGAATGTTAACTGCAATAGTTTACTTCACTCTCCTTCACTTCCACTGTGAGTAATTATGTATGTCCATAAATGCATGGAGCTAGGACTGAGAGGCTATAGAAAGTATACGAGGTAACTCGTCTCAATCTGTCTACTCCTCTCACTACCCTTCTGAATATGTCATCTTCTTATCCTCTCTGATTCACACGTATTATCTCTACTTCTGTCCTCCTTCAACTATGAAGTTCCTTTCAAATACCAACTGGAATTCATTCTCAAGTGCAGAGCTATTTCTGCCTATCATCACTGTAATTTATGTCTACACTCTAGAGCACCGTAGTTCCTCTCAGTTAATGCGTTAATTATACTCTGCCAATAAGAATAACATCTCTCATTCACTTTTTGTGGCTATAAAAATTGGATTATTACACAACTGAAGAATTTTGAAGTGTCACTATAATAATTCAACAATTCCTTCAATGAATTTGTATGCATTTAAATACAACTATGATGTCTCAATCCCAAACTAGTTGGTATGTCTATATTAGTGTCCTATATTTGTTCTGCTTTATTTGGACCATTTCATTAATTCACAGTTCGTTTACTTAAAATACAAATCTCTATATTGAAAAACAAAACAAACAAAAAAAAAAGAAATTATGGGAGTGAACATGGGATTCTTATCATCTTTTTGTCATTTTCTTAATATTTTTCATAAGTTAACTCCATAGATATATTCTTTGCCTTAAAACTTAAACTATGTTTGACTTTGGTGGAAGTGGCGGCGTTTGCGAATGGCTATGTTTAGCGTGGGGGGTGGAAGTGATAGTGTTTGCGAATGAGTGTGTTTAGCATGGGGGTTGAAGGGTAAGTCAGGGGTAAATTAGTAATTTGAATTTTAAGTTGGGAGTTGATGCTTTAAAGTAATATAGATAGATATAGACAACTACTTTATCATCTGCAAGAAAATCATACAGTAGCTTCTTTGTCTGGCAGTAGAGATGCCTTAGCAAACTTAGATAGGCTTCTTATGGCAAGTTGCATCGAAAATATCAAATTTTGCAAGGAAAATAGCCATATATGTATTGCAGAGTTTATCTCTGTTCTAGATAACTGTAGTAGTCAAAAGTAAAAATTTGTCCTGTTCTCATATTTTGAGACCTATAGCATTTCTCTTTTTCTGTTGGTTGTCCTTTCCATGCTTTTGACTGTTATTCCTTGAGGGGTTGCTTATACTTGCAGAAAATTGGTAGATATATTCGGGATATAGAAATATGTATTTGAGCATATCAGTATGTGTTTTGATATTAACTAGGCACAGCGGCTATTAAATCTGTCTCCTTATTGAAGTTGCTAGATTGAGAGCTGTGAGTTATAGCTTCTAAAGGCAGTTACATTTTTACAGGTGTGGATGTTAGCATGAACACACATCTGAAGGCTGTCAAAATTACGCTAAAAGGGAAGAATCCAGTGACGCTGGATCACCTGAGTGTGAGGGGTAACAACATCCGTTATTACATCCTCCCTGACAGCTTAAATCTTGAGACACTGCTGGTGGAAGAAACACCTAGGGTGAAGCCAAAGAAGCCAACAGCTGGTATTGTCATATTGTTAAGGACTATGTTGGGATTTTTTTGTGCCTTGTGGGTGTATGGCTAAATTTCCTTATTGCTTGGACATCCTTCTTATATACTCTTCCTTTGATTGTTCCTCTTCAGGAAAGCCTATGGGACGTGGTCGTGGGCGCGGTCGTGGGCGTGGACGTGGTCGAGGCCGCTAAATGCATTCCAGCTGCTCTTAATTTTTGCAGTGTTGCCTATGTAAACATGTGTACGGATGGAGAGATTTGCTCTTAGTTTTTCCCAGTAGAAAAAAGATGGATCTCATGCACAATTTATTTTGGATCTTTGAAGTCAGGAGCATGTTATCTCGTTGCATCATATTGTCTGCTAACGTTACTTTTGTATCGTGTACAATTATGTTCTTCCTTGTCAAGTTACTCAACTAAATTGGTCACTTCAGCATCTATACTCTGAGTAAAGTGACATAGAATTATATTTGGACCAAATTGGGAATTGAGATAAATAAATATTAAGTTTGATGATCGGTGGTCTAAGGATTGAAATCGAGGAATCGTTGAAACTACCACCAAATTGGGTTTTTTAACTTGTAAAGTATAAAACATTCACAAATCTTTGGAAGTCCAGCAAAATTAAAGCCTCAGGGTATTATTTTTGGGTTCCACCGTCAAAGTTGTGAAATTATTCCATGTTTTAGTTTTTGTAACAACAAGCTGAGTTTTTAATTGAATGAAAATGAGATGTTGATATGGCTATTTATGTAACTTTTCGATAATCAAATCAATCGGGCCCATTCCCTATATCTTAATTCCTCTTCTGCTCTATAAGTAAAATCATCTCGAGAGCTGCAAACTAAAAGCCTCATCGGCACAGGGTGCTTGTGGTCTCTTTCAATGGCGAAGAATAACTCGTTGAAGTCGACCGCAGTGGTATTCGGAGCCCTAGCATTTGGGTGGCTGGCGATTGAGCTTGCTTTCAAACCATGGCTTGATAAAGCCCGAGCTTCCATGGACAAGTCTGACCCATCTCGCGACCCCGACGATCAAAGTTGCAAGTCTCAGGTCGATGTTGATCCGAACAACTGATTTGATTTTTGGGTTCTAAACCCCAAAATCCAATATATGTGCTTGAATTTTACTTCATAATAAATAATTATGACTTGTTAATTTCTGTTTTTCTTCAGTTTCTAGCCGTCCCTGTATTTTATTTTGTTGGTTAAAGTGAAAGGAAATTGGTAGAAGTTTAATACAATTCAAGAGGTAAGTTCAAGATAATTGTTCCGTTTTTATATTTCTGTTTCAAGGGTCCATTTGTATTTGTATTTTATACTCAAAATGGAGATTTTGACATTTAACGTGTTGCTGTTGATTTATCATATAAAAATTTGTCTACACAAATGAGAATGAGAGAGAGGGCAGACAAAGAGAGCTGAATTTTCACAATACAGCCAGAGATAGGAGTTTGTTATTAAATTCTTATATTTGACTAGATAATCATTAAGTATGATATGAATATGACTTGTATGTTTTCACACCATAATTCTCATAATCTCACCATGATTTGTGGGCTTCATAAATCACATCACAACACTAATTAATCTTTGTTGTCACTTCTCCAACACTCAACCACAAATCTCTAGTCTTAATGACAAAAGAGTGATTTCATTTATTTGTAAGTAAATATTTTACTACTTGTATGTCCAAATCCGAAATTTCAATTATCATAACAAAAAAGGAATACTGAATAGTTGAGAAAAAAAAATGCTACTACTGCTATTCAGATAAAATTGAAATTCAATCAAATCTACGGGGCTTAGTTAATAGGTGCAAATCGCGATGCGTAGCTCTCTTTCAACTACATTAAACTCATTGGGAGTGGTCTCCCAATAGTAAATCTTTTTTGGGGGTGAATTTATTAATCAATTCTCATTTCCATACTTTCTAACCAACTAATTAACAACCATTTAATTTAACATTTGTGAATTTAGAGAGAAAATGAAGTGAAATTTGTTGACATCCCACGTTGAGCCCACGTTCCCATAGATTCTCTCTTAAGCCTCACGGCGGTTTCACCGTCCTTGTACCCTTTTCCGACATCTCCGCCACAAATCTTTTGGTATTTCCCTCTGTTGTCGGTTTCTTCAAAAACTCACTTCTTCTTCTTCTTCAATATTAATTACTACTCCTGGTCCCTATTTGCCATTTTAGACTACTACTTGTTTGTCTTTAACTTTGTCCATACAAGACCCCACCTCATCATCATCAACAACATCTTCCTCTACTCATTTACTCTCTTTCTCTCTCTCTCCTAGCTGTATTCAACTTACTTTAAAAGTGTGAACACATCTTCTCAAAACAATAACCCTCCAAAAATATTCAATTTTTTTTTTTGATAGTCTCCATCCCAAGACTGCATTTTTCTCTACACCCACTACTACTTCTTTAGTCTAAAGCAGAGATGAGTGAAAACCCACCTCCCAGATTCTTCAACACAATGACCCATTTGAAGATTTTCAAGAAACTCAAGCCTTTTGAGCCTTCACCAGGTGTTCTTGGCTGCTTCTTTTTCACCGTTTGCTTATTCTTGTATCTCTTCTTGTTGGATTATACAACAGTAAACAAAGTGCCTCGGTTGCATCAGCCATCCTTGTTAGCTACTTGGGTTGGGATAAATGGATCATCTTTGTCCTATAACAAGGTTGATTTTTTGGGAAGAGGTGCAGAAAGTTGTGATATTTTCGATGGAAATTGGGTTTGGGATGAAAGATATCCACTTTATGAATCAAAGGATTGTAATTTCTTGGATGAAGGCTTTCGTTGTTCTGAGAATGGTAGGCCTGACAATTTCTATACTAAATGGCGTTGGCAACCTAAAGATTGCAACTTGCCCAGGTTAATTTCACTTGTATTCTACTGGTAGTGACTACTGTGTTTAATTTCTGCTGATAATTTAACGAAAGAGTTTACGAGACAATAAAGTGAAAGGATTGCTTTAACAGTTAAGGCTTTAATATGATGTGCTTTTCTTGCATACCATTTTCTACTGAATTTAGCTGATTAAGGTTTTAATCATTGAACTACTAGGTGAACACTGACAGTGCACAATATTGTTGAACAATTTGAGGGGTTACATCAGGTTCTCGTCCAATTTTATCTAATAGTGTGCTAAACATATAGAACTTAACTCTTACTACATGGGCTCTCATTGAGCATTGTCTAAAGTTGTTAGCTTGATGCTTAAGTCTTTCTTGGTTATTCTTGAGAAGACTTTGTGCTTAGTAGGAGAGAGCTTTTCATAATCTTTTCCATGATTATTGAATGCAAATTTTTAGTCTGCTAATTACTCTTTTAAGCAGATTCGATGCAAAATCTATGTTAGAAAAGTTGCGAAACAGACGGGTTGTGTTTGTCGGAGATTCAATTGGAAGAAACCAGTGGGAGTCTCTACTCTGCATGTTATCTTCTGCTGTTCCTGACAAAAGCAAGATATATGAAGTTAATGGAAATCCTATCACGAAGCACATGGGTTTTTTGATTTTTATGTTCAAGGATTTCAACTGCACTATTGAGTACTATAGAGCTCCATTCCTAGTGTTTCAAGGTCGTCCACCTTCAGGGGCTCCCCGAAATGTTAAATTGACTTTGAGATTGGATCAGATGGATTGGAGCTCTGCTCAATGGAAAGGAGCAGATATTTTGGTATTCAACAGTGGTCACTGGTGGATTTATGAAAAAACTATTAGAGAGTAAGCTCTCTTTTCTTTCTTTTTCAAATTTCAAGCTCCCATACTTCTCTTGCTTGTTTACTGATAGAATGAATCTACTGGAACACTTCCTATTATACTTTTGTGTCAAGAACTCAAAGTCCTCACGAGTGACTACAATTCTACAAATAGATTATAGCTTGCTACTGTTAGTATCTTTTAATAATTATCAACACAGCGAAAAGTTGTATAAGATTATGAGTTACATATAGTTGCTATAGTTGTGTATATTTCCCTTCTAGATTTTTGCATTTCAAAAAGCTGTTTTAATTTAAAATCTGCAAAGATTGGTAAAACATAAAGAAAATAATTAACCACTAAATGTGTAGTACATAGAGAAAACTAGCATTTACAATTTGCAACATATTGTCAGAACCTTCAAAGTTGTTGAGCTACTTTATGGCAAAGATTTTTTATGGAAAAGAATAGTATGCCTTGGAAGACCAAATAACTGATAACCATTAACAAGCACCTCAACTTCCATGCACTTTACTTCCTTTCTTTTCCAGTTCTGCTCTCTTTGCACATTGTGAAAGGAAAAATGAACTAATGGGCGCGTAGAGAGGGCATAAACCTATGGGGTTTCCCCTCATTCATTGTCAGATATGCCCTGATGTTAAATTTGGCAGTGAAGCTAATTGATCTGAACTAGGTACCTTGAATAGTGGATATGTAAGCACAATAAGTTTGACAGGAAAGAGACTGAAATGGTTCGGTAATGAACTCAGTAACTTTGCAGAAAAATATAAGATTTTGAATTTTAACAGTTATCATGCTACGGAGAATTGAAGGTGGTAAATTCAAATATCCTTCTTTAAAATATGTTTGAGCTCTTACATTTAGCCTTTTTGTCTTAGTCTTTAGGTTGGCCTTCTATCTGAAATTGAAAGGGTTAAGTGAGGTATGAGTGATTAGTTGTTGTCGTTGGATTTCATGAACTAAACATTGCTACAAGTATTATGTACTTGTAGGAATTTTTATTTGGAGAAAAATAACTCGAATTGTTTCAGGTAAGTATTGTCCTCATCATGTGAATTTTGTTCCTCAAATTGTTTAGATGTGTTGCTTCCCGCCACCAAGTAGTGCATTAATATTAAGCACTTTAAGTTTAGACATTAATATTTGTTGCTTTTGTGAATCATAATCTTGATAACTGATAACATAATATACTTGTGACTTATTGATTTTTGTACTTGATAGGGGATGTTACTTTCAACTAGGTGGAGAAGTCGATATGACGATGAATATTGAGACTGCATACAGGAGGTCAATATCGACATTGGTTGATTGGATAGGTCATGAAGTGAATATGACCAAGACACATGTCGTATTTCGAACTTATGCTCCTGTTCACTTTAGGTATGTCTTGGTCTTGATCTGTTAACTGAAGGGAACGTTTCGTAAGGCAACATACTTCTATAAATTTTGTTGAGATCTGTTGCTGAATACATCATATTACAAGTGTGAGGAATAAATTTAGTCCAACATGGTAATTTCAGTTTAAAAAGAAGCTGAGAAGGTTGACCCCTTGAGTTTTTTTCTACTGGTTGAATCATGTTGTACAACAACAATAACATAACCTGTATAATGCCACAAATGGGGTCTGGGGAGGGTGGTGTGTACTCAAACCTCACCCCTGCCTTGCGAAGACATTGAGGCTAGATTGTGTTTGACTGTCCATAAACCTTTCTACCTTAATCCCTGACCTCTATACCCTCCCATCTAGGGTCATGCCCTCAGTAAGTTGCAGGAGTGTCATGTCGTGTCCGGACACCTCCCAGTGCTTCTTTGGCCTACCTCTACCTTCCCTTAGACCCCACATATCCAACCTTCCGCACCTTCTCACTGGGATATGGGGGCATCTTTTTTTCACATGCTCAAACCATCTCAGCGCAGCCTCGCTTCTCTCATTTTGTCCACCATGGATGCCACTCCTACCTTGTCTCTAATATCTTTTTTTTTTTGACGACGACCTTGTCTCTAATATCTTTGTTCCTAAAAGTATCTCTCCTAGTATGCCCTCACATCCATTTCACTCTCCGGATTGTCGTTCTGCTACTGATTTGTTGGATGTAAGAGTTCTTGACCTGCCAATACTTCACCCTATACAACATAGTTGGTCTAACCACCACATTTTATAACTTACAAACTGTACAGTTTATATACGCAAGTATGGGTTTACTTCTACCCGAAATTGTATGTTCCCTTGGCTTTTACGAACTGTTTTAACGAAAATAATAGGTGAAATGTTCTGCACCCTAATTTGTCATTACTCACGGCCTCCTCTTCCCCAGCTCGTCTCTAAACATGCATATTCTGTGGCATTGATTATGTTCAAATTTCTAATTTCCAACATGGACATACTGCCTGTTACTACGTTAGTTTTAATAATCAGGTGGCAAGTCCATGTTTGCATCTTTCAATTCATGAGCTAGCTTTCATTGGTTGAATGGATTTAGTAGGTTGGTGTTATTTGTAGATTGTTTTTGATGATAATATACACATCTTTGTTAATAAACCAACTAATGAATCACTTCAATATAATGTATAGAGGTGGAGACTGGAAGACTGGCGGCAACTGTCATCTTGAGAAGCTACCTAACATAGGATCATCCCAAGAGTCGGTGAAAACATCATTTGAATATAACACTGTGATCAATGTGCTGTCTGAGAAACAGAACAAATCAAAAACATGGAATTTGGATTTATTGAATGTAACAGGGATGACATTTCAGAGAAGAGACGGTCACTCATCTTTGTATTACTTAGGTCCCAAGGTTGGACCAGCTCCTCTCCACCGGCAAGACTGCAGCCACTGGTGCCTCCCCGGTGTCCCTGATACATGGAACGAGCTTCTATATGCCAACTTCCTCAAACGGGAGTTGGGTTGTGCAAAATTTTCCAAACAAACTAGTTAAAATCAACGGTGTGGCAGGTAAAGAGATGTTATAGCTCCAACATTTCAAATGTTACACCTCATACGCTTGCAGTGTCATGGACTATAAGACGTGTACCTTGGAAAGGGAACTCCATTTTCAAATTTTCGTGAGTGGAATGTGCCCCTTTTCAAGATTAAATAGTAGGGACAATTTTTGCAGCTTTGTATAGTTGGGATTATTTGGAATCTCTTCACCAAAATTACTGTAATGTAGTACATTATGTGTTGTTGTATAGCTGAAGAGAACAACATTAACCTAATTTTATACAAAATGACGAGCTTCCCCAATTGCAATATTGTACATTCCCTGTTTTTACGTTATGGACACAAACTGTTTTAACACTATAAATACAGAATGTCTTATTGTTATGTATTCGACGAGCGTTTTTTTCTTTTTTACAGAAAAACAAAACAAAACAGAATGATAATTTTGTGGTACAGTCAAAACATTTAATTTGGAAATAACATTATTAGTAGAATATGTGAGCAAAAAATGATTACTTAAAACAAATGAAAAATTGAGGAAAAGGTGTGCAAAATGTTGCAGAAGTCGAATATATAGAGAGTGATGGAATCACAACTGCTATATCTAAATGTAACTAATAAATAGTAAATGAGACAACAACAAAAAGAACGTCAGTAATTAACAAGGTTCGGCAAATTTTTGTTTTCTTTTGCCTAGTCATCGGACACAACCAACCAATATTTATTTCACTCCAAAAGTGAAATATTATAAGAGAGGTGTATTACAAATGAATTAGAAACTATGTATTTATAGAAGTGAATTTTTCCTGTTTATGTACATCACAATACGTCAAGATTTACCTTGTGAAATCAATTTATGGTTCACCTAAATTTTACCTACAAAAGGTGTTATCTTGACTTTTTAACTTCTCTTTAAAAATTTAACACAAAAATCATACTAATAGTTTTATTTTGATTGGATGCGTCTTATTATATTATCTAATAAGGTGGGAGGGAGGAGGCCTAAAAAGAAAGCAAGTTGAAGAATAGTAAAATACATTTGTATCCTATCTTTGTCCCCTTGCAACTATTATTATTCTCCTTTTCATCAGTAATTTTAGTATTTGATGTGATACAAGTCATTCGTCAACAATGGGCGAATAGGAAGGCGATACGTATCTTATGTTTAATAATTACTACTATGGTGGGAGAACTTTGGGGCATAAGTCGACACGTGTGTTGCGATTTGAGAGCCTGAAAGAAAAAGTAAAAGCGTGGGCTCACCTCTTATTCCAAATTTCTTCAGCTTTCCCTACATATATAATATTTGACATCACTTTTCCTATGAAAAATTAAAAGGAGATTGTTTTTAATAAATCGAACTGGCTTGTCCTAAGTTAACGTTCAATTTCACAGAGGCAGACAAAAATTGTTGTCTCCCAAAACAAACAAAAAGATTCAGTGTATATGCCAAGTGCAACGAACTAAGATTGGGATCGACAGGTAGTCTTATTATCAAAGGGGATGCTTAATGAAAGAGCAATTACAAAATGACAGGATTTTGGAATGTAGCTAGTTAGCCCTTTTCCCTTTCTAGGCAAAAGATTGTCAAAAAGAAACCTCAACAGACAATGGTCCCTTCTCTTGTGATAAGCAGTTTGTACAATTATATTTATTTAAAAACAAAATCATCTTCCCTTTCACCTAATGTCAACAAACATAATTGATATAGGTCTTCCCATCCCTTTAATTTATAGTACATTATGTAAACTTAAAATGGACAATTTCTCTTTCTACCTCTTGATGAATTGTTTCTTATATATATATACACACTCCATGTGACACCTTTTTTCCAATAAATTTATTTGAGACAATTTTATAGTATTTGACATTAGTTAACTCTTCAACTTTTCATTATATAATTATTTTATAACTACACAAAAGTTAAAAGCATATTGTTCATTCTAAGAGATATTACTTTTTTATCCGGCCCACAATAGGAGTTTGAAGTACGGAAGTGCACTTGCACGTACGATAAAAAATATTTGGAGACTAGTTGAAGTTCAAAATTAAGACCATTATTGAGCATGGAATGTATAATAATAAGTAGAGACGCATGCACTATAACTATAGCATAGCAATACAATAATAATTAGGAAATGGCGACCCAAAAAGTTGGTATGTTAGTCCCATTTTGATTGCACTTGGTTGGTGTTATGTATCCATTTTGAGCTAGTATTTCAGTATTATTGAAAGAAAGCCGAAGTCTTCCATGGAGGCGTTCTGCTTTGAAGCAAGACTTCATAGTGGTGGCTTTCAAGATTAAACGATCACCTTGGCGATGAGGCGTCACCTGAATAATTGAAGTGAGAGGAGGAGGAAAATGAGCTACTAGCATTTTGTTACTACTAGTAGTAGTATGCTTTTTAACAATTTTTGAATTATTATTCTCTATGCTTTCGCTACTCTCCCTCCCTGTTTCGCTCCCCAAACTCTCAGTACACATCTCCAAGCTTTTAATGCTAAGCTTAGTGACTTGTTTTTCCCCATAATCTTCTCTTTTCGGGTTACAAAGTATCAAACTCCACCACCCCCCACTCTCCTCTGCCACCTTGTTGATTACAACATCCATCTTTTTTTCTCTTAAATTATTATTATGAGATAGATAAGTGAAAGGGCAAGGAGGCTTCAATTTATAGAAACAAAAAGTGGGGTCACGTACAACACACAAGTGGTTTCAATTACAGAAAAAACTACTTTATACAGGTCACTTGTCAAAATATACATACAAATACAAAAATTGAGTAGTCATGCATGGTTTTCCTTTTAAATTATCTGTACTCCCCCGTCCTAACTAACTATGAAAAAGCAAAAGGTTTGTCTAGAGGGGTATCTATTGGATGATGCAAAGTGCATGCAGGAGCACAACTTTTGATGCCACTGAATTATTTAACTTATACATACACCTACATCTTTTTACATCATCATCAATGTAACCTATTTCGTACATTTAAATTCTTATAACTTCAAATTTGTACTCAACCTTTTTTTTTTTAGTTCAAATATTTAAAAGACATAAAAATAATCACACTTAGTTTGACCCTCTAAATAAATAAATTAATAAATAAGAAGCGCTACAGGAAAGAAAAAATATAATAAATCTTTAAACTCTTTAACTTCTACTCTGCTAATGTACAAAATATACGGATGTAAAAGTCGAAGAAAGTGGAATGCAAGAATAATTCGACATAGAACGAAGCTAATTGGTCATTGCTTCCCTTGGTGCACTTTAGCATTGATATACATACGTAATAAATCTACTTTGATTCAAATTTATATTTATTTTTAAAAAAACTTAAACATGTATAAATTATTAATTTGAAACTCAATAAAATCTTAATTCTTTAGTTTAGCTTATTTATAATTGGTAATAAAATCGGATTGGTTGGATTAGGAATTGGTGTAAATCTTTGAAGAGTAAAATAATATTTCTGTCCTTCCTTAGTAAGCTAACAAAATGTCCCAAATCAAAGGAATAGTTTGTGTTTTCAAGAGTTTTAACTTGGAATAATGACATAAAGTAGAAATGTTTATATAATGATCAAATCATTCATAAAATAATTTTGTTTAGCCATAAATTATACATATTTCTAATGAATGTGTAAAACAAATATTATTGGTAATATTTACAAACATTTAAATTACCAACTGCACAAACACATAATGTTTTCTTAAAGAACATACAATAATCAACCATAAAATTAAGTAAAGGAGAACCAAGGAAGTATATAAAGGTCGATACAAAACGTATATATACTTACCCCCTATTTTTTCCCTTTCAAGTTACTGAATAAATGGACCATAATTAATCTTCTTTTCACTCTTTTTTCATTTAAAAAAGAAAAGAAAAGAATTGAAGACATGCTAAAACAGAAGTTTGATTTGTGCCCTGTCTGGGGCGCAACACAAACAAAAACAACATAAAATGCTTTTTAGTTTGCTATTGGTCCATCTATCTATAAATAAAAATATAGAAACGTGTAGCAGGTCGACACTTGTCGAATGAAAATTTATTCTTAATTCAAAACTTGTCAATAGACTTTTATGATTGTGATTAAGATTATGACTTTTTAAAGTTAGTAGAAGGTGCAACAAAGGATTAATAAGTACGCGTTATCTGGTTGGCTCATTAATATTAACCACTAAGAAGCAAACACCTTCCTTTTATCATTCACTGTTTTGCTTTAAACCTTTTTCTCCAGTACACTGTACCTACTCTAATCATTCTTTAATTTTAACTTTCTATTTATAAAATTAAAAGATATTATAATGTATGTCATATACATTCTTTAATTTAAGATCATAAGATTTTTTATTTTAATTTTTTTATTAAATTAAAACGAAGTATATATATATAGAGAGAGTGTGTGTGTTTTTAGTGGAAAGCGAATATGCACCCGCACTCACTATGACAATACATAAATCCATGTTTGGTTTGTGCTGTGTTTACCACTAATAGTTAGTTAAATGAAGTGGTACATTACGTGTACTATCATTACTTTTACAATATTAACCTTGACTCATCTAATAACAAAAGCCAAGTATAAGATTATCATGAGGACTTTACTTGGGTAGTAGTAATTCTTTTACAACACTCATTTCTCACTTCTTTTCTTAGCAAGTATATCATTTTACTACACTTATGTTACTTCAATAAGCTAAAGGTTTACATTAAAATTAAATATACATCCCTGCTAAATAAAATGGAAGGAAAATAATTCACAAGGAGGAGTGGGAATTAAATTGTCACAGCATTTAAAATTATTTTTAATCAATGACAACAATTTAATTAACACTTTTTTTGTAAATATCCTTAAACCCTTTATTTAACCTTATTAACTTGATTATTAATTACCAGCTTTCTACTTTCTTGCTTTCATAATCTGTCCTTTAAATATTTGCTTAAAAATAAATTAAAAAAAGGACCATAATCTGTCTTTTAATTGTTTGCTGCTGATTCATTTTCTTTTGTTGAGAGATTTGTCTAATATTACCCGACCATTGCTTAGTATACTTTCCTAAAAGCCTGGTACTGTCATTCTTATATAGGGTGTGTTTAACTAGACATACAAATTTTAAAAAGAAGACTACTTTTGCCCAATACCAAAAATATTCTTAAATTTGTGATTTGTTATTTTAATGGCCTAAAGGTAGTTTGAAGTTACGTAAACAACTTGAAACACATTTTTCTTTAAATAGACTAAAAAAAGTAACATGCATGTATTTCACAGCACATTATGTGACAGTTTGATTACACTAATAACCTTTTACATAATATGGCAGCAAGACTTTCCGCCCTTCATTTCACACATGCAAATTTTGAACTGTCGAATAAATCATCTAATTTACTGGAATTTTATACACGGTCTACTCATTGCATTTTTCACAAAAATACTAATGACAGTCTACATCACCACCTTCATATTTACAGCAGGTAGATAACTAAAGTTGAAATGTTTCAGCAAATTCCAACTGATGGAATTGTAGCCAAACTATAATTTAGTCGTCTGAAGATAACAGTTACAACTGACAATTATAAACCAAACTCATCATTGCTGCCTCACACTAATGGAACTAAAGAACCAATTACACCGTAGGTTAGCTTCATTGAGTAGGTTCAATGGTGTATATATACCTTTCCAGCTTGCAGGTGAAGATGCCAACAGCTTCTTCCTGGTTTTCTCCGTCTAGGTACTTCTATGTTGAAGCTTCCAAGAATTTTCCACCAGCTTTAACTGATATACATGAAAGCACTAGAACAAGGTATGAAACGCACAGCTCTACTTGGGTGGCCGCTCTAGTGCTATCCAACCAAATTTCCCTTTCCGGAAATCTTGCAAAATACGAAATGCTGCTTGATTATTGTCCGCATTGAATAACTGAACAGCCAGCTTCTGAACAAATCTTCAACCAAAACAAACAAAGATCAAAATGGAAATATAGAACAAATCCTTGCAGGGGAACTCATACTTCAGATACACCCTTTGGGTATAATTTGCCATACACACATTTTACCACTGCGCCCATCTGCCTCAATCTTGTAGCGGTCACACAGAACTTTATTACCTGGTCAGAGGACCCATGTCAGAAAAATATAAGACAGCATGCATACAAGAAGCTTAAAAAATGAACTATTTAGGGACAGCCAATCCCTAATGCAAATGAGTTGTTACATACAAGAGGCTCAAAGTGCAAGCTTAGGTGCAATAAGTATCTATCAGGATGAGTAATTAGTCTTATCATCTAAATAAGATCCGGTAATGAATTCTGACGCACAGTGTCTTCAGCAACGTATTACAAAAAGAAATCTACCTACACGAGTGAATAGCATGTGTTATCTGAATGACAGGAAACATACCAACAGTTGGAAGCCCTGAAAGCATCTGTACAAGAATAGCTGCAACATCTGCGGCATCATAAGATCTCTCTCCAATATCATCACATATGGCAAGCTTTATTGCTGCTGTCTGATCACTGATCCTCATAGGAATTATACCAGGTGAATCCAGTAGCTCTAGATCTTTCCCAAAACGGACCCACCTTTTAATAAAATGAGCCGTAGACAATCAAAAGGAAGAAGAGTCCAAAATCTAACCCAGTCTTTTGAAATTAAATTGATGATAGTCTTCCTTCTTGCATAACAATTACATGGAACTAACTATGCTGAAAATATTCACTCAGTTCGACTTAGCATATCAAATTTTTTGAAAAATAGATTCCTATATATTAAAAAGGTACTCCTATCAATTTCTATGTAATGCTTGATGTTAAAATGACTGGAAATCCAAGCGGTTCAAAAGGAGTCAGAATGAGATGGTGAAATAGAGAAGAAGGTACAACCCTGTCACTCCGTTGTCACTTGAAAGTAAAGAAGAGATACACGCTTTGGATCAAAATTTTGTGGGCCTTCTCATGGAATCAAATGTCGAATGAACTTGCTGCAAAAGAAAAGAGTAAGGAGCTACGGACATACTTCAGCTCTCTGGTGACACCTGGTCTTGGGGCTGCAGCACACATCCGGCGCTTCAGCAAACGATTTACCAGAGATGACTTACCAACATTTGGATACCCAACTACACCAGCTCGAACCTGTCAAAATATACAAAATTCTCACTCAGAAAAAACTAACACAGAAGAAGCAGACATGAACATCCTAACAAAGGATGTAATTCCATAATTTTGTCATTTCATCTACTAGTGAACCAAATAAGAATTTTATATTCTGTTACATATTTTACATATGTTGTTCATCAGCACATTGATACAAGATTACAGCAGCAGAATAACACTTTTCCCTGGTGTACACTCATTAAACCCAAATTATCAGACGGTAAGACTTCGATGTTCGCCATTGAACTCCTTGCATTTCTTTTATATCACAGTGGGTCCTTCCAATGGTCTATATGTAAAATTGTAAATTCATGAAAATTACAGATTAAATACAAAATCACAATAAGAGTTCTGGCATTATTCATGAGCCAACCGAATTGGTGGTTTGAATGAATAAAATCATTGGTACTTGAAAATTGAAATGTGCTCACACAGATCGACCAGTTTAAATGCTTCTGATGGTCAAGATGTAAATGGTGAAGATAACATATACAGTTAAAAAATCAGAATTAGATTGCTAACATCAGTCACAGACCAACTGAATTTGATGGATTGAAAGTAAGTAACCATTTAAGTTTCATTTGTCTTGACAATTGCAATGCGCTCACAACAGATCTGCAGTCTAAAGGCATAGATGATATGAGATATTGTCAATCTTAGTAGACTCACTGGGCGAGGAAGTAGTCCTTTTGCTTTACGTTTTATGTTTACAGTACCCGCTAATGCTTTCGCCAACCTTCCAAGCTTCAGTGCTCCCTGAAATTTGTCGAATACATGAATCAACAAAGTATACAACGACTTTTTGTTGGATCAGAAACAAGTAAATGTTATTCCAATCACCATTCCAAGCTGGCCATTGGAGAAAACAACTTTAATCCCTTGATTAGCATAATAAGTTGCCCAAGCATTCCGATCAGCAGTTGATATCATATCCTCTCGATTCAAAACCAAGATCCTCTTTCTGTTGCCAAGCCATGAGTCCATCTGCTTATCAAAGTTGAATTACTAACAAAACAAAATAGATGAAAGTTGAAAGGAGACGAAAAAAGAATCTCATATGCAATAGGAGTCTGGTATACTGAATTGAAGTCAAGAAAAGGAATTATGGACTGCACATGCATACTCTATCCTGATTCAAACGAGATTCTTGAGTATCTACTTCATAGCACGCTCTTTGCATCATTGGAAAATTTTTCCTACATCTCATTTGCTCTTGTTTGGCTATGCCAAAGGAGAACAGGGTCAAAGTGATACCTATGAGTAATCTAGTCTTTATAGCTGCAAACCATCAAAGTGATCAAAGTTTTTGTTAAGTATATTATTAATTTCCAAAGTTCAAAACACAATCCCTGAAGTGATTAAACTGCAATTCAATAGGCACATTTCTAAGCCAGACGAGGAAAACTCTCAGATGGAGTATCAGTTTATACTAATCACAAGCGATGTAGAAAGAATAGGCCAGGCTAAGCGGAAAATAGCTGGCCAGTGTTATAGAGGCAATCCATATGCAGAATACCAAGCAGTCCCATTTCTAATCAGAATTGTCAAGCATAATTCAGATCTCAAAAGTGAAATGTACTCCTAAGCACAAAGTTACCAATCTCAAAAAAAAAAAAGTACTCTTAAACACATTCTCCAATTAAAATAAAATATAATGATTGAGTTCTTAAGCTGTTTGCAACACTCAACTTTTACACAACAAGTCTTAAGTGGTAAAGATAGTTTAGGATGGCACAGTGGGCCACATCTACCTAGCTGTTGGGAAAGCAGGCTAGGTTACTAGCACATCACTCAATACCCTAGCGAAAATGCAAATATAACAAAACATTCAATAATCTAGCCAAAGAGTAAACAGGCAAAGCATAAACAAGTTTCTAACCTGTGGATGACTTGTGGACATCGGGATTCTTGCATCTCGAACCTCTATGACAACATCCATTAGTTTCAACTGTTCCTTGAGCTCTTTCTCAGTTTTCGCGATATGACCAGGATACCACTATTTAAATAATAGACACATAGTGTAAGGTCAACCATTCAACAGGGGAACACATAAAAATTTTGAAACATACAGAAGGTCAAGGTCAAGTCCACACCCTGAGCATACCTGAACTGGTCGTAAAGTCTTTGTCCAATGGTAAAGATCGGTTTCTAGATCATTCCAGTCATATTCTTCTTGATTGTCTTCAAAAGAATTAAAAAGTTTTGAATTCTCACTGCCAGATCCTCCAGCACCTTTCCAACCAACAACCTGAAAAGTTCATTCACAAGAATGTTACTTCGTGTAATGGATAGTTAAAAAGACCCTTCTATGAGAGTTTCCAAAAGTTTCATGAAATCGATTAAATAAAGTTAGACCAAAAGTTCAATAAGAGCAAGAAAACTTAATCAGCGTTTAGATGACATATGATACACACTTAAGAGAGCATTTTTATGTGTCCAAGTGTTGCACGTGAGAATGAATTACGAAATACATCACTATTGAATATTGTAGCCTAAAAGAAAAACCAAAACCTGATATAAACCACAATCCATGAATGTTAAGTTTTGCACTAGGGCTGTTCTAAATCGAACAGTAGCCAATACGTAAAATTGGCTTATTGGTATTGGGTTATCGAATAAACGGTTGGTTAACGGATTATAATTTTATAATTAATAGCTTATTGGTGTGGGGTGATGATTCAATTTCCTTATCCGGTAAACTATTAACCAGTGAAGAGTCACCATATTTCAACTTTTATCTTAGATATATTAGCCTCATAATATTTTGCCATAATATATTATTGTTAATCCTAAAGCCGTAAAGCCAAAAACTGAAAAACCTACTTACTTTTCTGTTGTATTAACAATTATATTACTACTAATTTATATTTTTTGCAATATAAAAGAATTTGATAATTTAACTGCATTTAAATCTGATGTCCTGCCTTTACTTGACTTTGTATTTCTTCCCTGACATTCGATCTTTGAACTTGAGTTATCTCATGCTCGTTCACCTTTAAGTCACACTTTATTCAGCAGCTCACACCATCTTTATCATACCTTCATTATAGGCCAAAATTGCAGGCTCTGGAACCTACTTTACTGGACTTTGAGGGTTACACAAGTTCTACCAGCAAAGATCTGGTATTATGGGCTTGTCTCAATTACAACTGATAGAGACAATCCTGTTAGAATAGGAATAGGTTTATATGATTCTATTGAAATAGAAATAGGTTTATACAATCCTATTAGAATAGGAATAGCTTTATATAATCCTATTCCTATTCTAACAAATCCAATTAACACTACATTTGGTTCCTCTTGACTATGTCCTAATTTGATAGATTCTCCAAGAACTATTTTCACATCCAGTTTATCCAATCTCATATCTATAATAATAAAAAAAAATCTCTTGGAAGGGACACTTACAAACTCCCTAAAGCAATACCAGAGAATGCTGTTTCCTTCTCTCAGCAACAACCCTTTCCCATGGTCTCAGTCTCAAATTTGAAGTTTGTTGTGTCTCAACACCTCCATCTCTAATACTCCGAAGTTCTTCCTCCATCTAAATATCTTTTTTTGGCAACCATTAGGGGATCAAGCAGTTTCTTTTTTCTTTTAACTATACAAAGTTATTATTTATCCTGCTTTTTATGCACTTCTAAAGGTTGTTTTTCTAAAAATAAAATTAACATATTTACGTTCTAAAGATACCAAAAAGTTGGGATTTTTAGTACTTTTTATGTAGTTGCTAATTAAAAAAGAAGTCTAAAAAATTGATGTTCCAATTTCAGAAAATTAGATGTCTTGACGACTCCGTTTGTTCATTTATGGGTTGGATGGAGAAGTATGCAACTATTGGCTAATTTAGGACCTTAAATACAGAAGTAAATGAAGTGAAATTTTGTATAGTGCATACTTCTCCACTAACTATATGCAGATATTGCAGCACCTCAGAGAGCTAGTATAAAACAAGTTATTACGCTGCTTCAAAGCAAAAGGGCAAAATAAAAGTTCAGCTTTCAAGCTTTGGCTGTATCCAGCGTAAATATACCATAGGAAATATTATACAGTTTACCTGAATTGTGGAAGAGAGAGAAGGAGGGTTGGCAGAGGAGATAGCTGCCGGTGGTTGATTGTTCCGGCAACTAAGAGACCGGGCGCCGGCGAGTGTAAGGCCAGCGCTGTTCAGCAACAAACCAGGGAGCTGTGTAGCCATCGGTTGCAGATTATCGCTTCAGATTTACCACTGCACAAGGCATTTGTTTGAACATATACTTGGAGAAGCTTGTTGGTATACAAAGGATATTTTTTTTGTTCATCTTTTAAAATAATATATATATTAGTAATAAATAACGAATTTATTTACTTTTTTAAAAGAATAAATAATTATCTTTATAACTTTGACCGGGAAGGTCTTTATTTTTTGTGAAATAAAAACTAAAACCAACCAAACAGTAGAATTTGAAACAAACACGTCTATTGTAAGTTGTAATTGAGAATAAACGTTTGTTTGTGTGTATGTTATTCATTCAAGGTCCTTCATGTATTCATAAGCCTCCCTCAAATTTGTTTTGCTCTTCCTATATTCTTTAATAATTATTGTTCTCGTTTGGAAAATTTATTAGAATTATGCAAAATCCAAAATAATTGTAATTGACATACATACAGCTAGGGAATTTTTTAAAACTCAGAGAGATGATGATTGTCATTTGGACCAAGGACATTTATACAGAGAGTAAGTTAAATCTAAGAAACTGAAGTTGATGCGCTACACTAAACGTCACAACAAGCAATGAGAGGTTACACAACTCTTGCATTTAATCAAAGAATACATCAGATGTCAGCTTGAATTGGCCTTGCGTGTCTCAGCTTGTGCTGTGAATATATTTTATAGTGTGTTAATGCACAATTACATAGTAGTTGTTTAGGCTCCAAGCATTTCTTAATGACAACGCATTGAAAGCCTCCGATTACTCAAACATCACAGACATTTTCATCCTACAGAAGATAAGAAATTATCAGGAGAAACCCGACATAAATCCTCCTCTGACACCCCAGCACTCACCTCTGCAATTGCATACTCAACACAGTTGCTTAAGGCACTCAACGTCATTTTGATCAGCAGCCCTTAGGCAACATCCATATTAACATCACCACATGCCCTGTATATGTACCTGCAAACAATAAACGCTCCTGTTTGATTTGTATCCCCAGATGTGACAGAGAAGTTGTTTCCTAAGTAATCCCACAAGTGGGGTCTTGGGAGGAGGGTAGAGTGTACACAAACCTTTACCTTTGAGAAAATAGAGAAGTTGTTTGCGAAAGACCATGGCTGAGCAAACAGTGAAAAAGAGACACTAGGAACAAACATAAACAACAACAAGATGATAATAAGAAACCTTAGTAGTAAACACTACTAGGTTATACAAGTTGTTCTCCAACCTTAGCAGTAAACACTCCAAGATGCATTTCAATGAGGTAAATAAAAGAAATTTGGTAACCAAGCCAACATACTTATTTCAATCATGCTATAAAAATTGCAAAGCAAAATATTACAGGAGTAGAGAAAACCACTCATCAGCATATAAAACATAGATCTAAGTTCAGTTTGCAAGAGATTAATTCTCTAGTTCAACTATTTAAAGAGAATCATCCAACCAATAGAAGCTAACATGCGTTAAGTATAAATCACCACAACTTGATTCCTCGTGTTGATAAAATTCTCTTTATGCTAAAGAAGTAGCTACTTGTGAAGTAGAGAAGCCAAGTTCGACTCGACATCTTCATTGGCTTTGTGATCAAATGACTCATCACCAATATATAGGTCTAGGATTGATCTGCATAAGAGTTTGCTTTGTATGCTTCCCACTTCCTTTCCATCAACTACAAAAGAAAAATAAACAGAACCTAAGCTTCATCTAAGTGATTGATGCAAGAGCAAACTTTAAGCAAACAACTAGTACTTTGATGCTGTTTAATGTAAGTCTTTTTTTTAGCTCATCAGTCTCTTACATAAAATGCATGTAGAACAAATCTCAACTAATACTTTGATGCTGTTTAACTTAAGTCTTTTTTTTAATATGGAATGTCTTTAACTTATTTATTAGTCACTGTGACAGAGGTGTATCAGCCATTGGTAATGAAAATCATCAATAGTATCTTGGGGAAGCATATTTTCAAGAGCTAACAGCTGATAATAAAAATCATCACTGGTCTCTTGGCGAAGAATATTTTCAACAGCTAACACATAACAATTTCTATTTCTTCTTTTGGTTTTATAGACAGTGAAGACGGTAAAGACCAGAAAATCTATATCTGTATAAAAGAGAATAGGGATGGTCGATTGGTGAAATCTACACAAGCATAATTTCCAGCATGACTTCTGTAATCAAATTCAGGAAAATATTTAGCCACTTCCCACAAAGGAAATGTAAGGGTATAAATGTGCCAACTGACGGTGTAATTAGGATACTTATGGTATTGTTCTTGTATAGAACTCACTTGATGAAATAAGTTCCCTTCATTGTAGCCACTAACATACTGCTTTGAAAGCCAACCTTATTAGGGAAATGACTAAATAAATTAATGTCTTATGTATCTATTCAATAGCTCTTCAATAATTTGAGCAAGTGATAGCTATAACATTTTATCTTTTCTCAAAACACACACACACATGCACGTCCTGTGGGCGTTTACACTGACAGATTGAGAGTCTTCACTTCAAAAGATTCATATCAAATCGAAATATGAACATTGTAGAAAAAGTGGAAAAAGACGGAACTTGTTCATTTCCAAAATACTACCAGCGCAAATAAATCATCTTACTTGTTGTGTGGAGTATGTAGTCATGATCTCTGGAGAGTTCAATGATAGATCCCCGAGGTAATTTAATTTCATCCTTAAACTGGGAAGTGAACCTACAGTTGCAAAAGGCACTTTTGGTTAATAAGAACTAGGGAACTGAGAAGTTAAAAAGATGACAAGATGTCAATAGTTTTATGAGAAAATAATATATAGAAGAAATATATATATAATATGAGCATATGTATTATACATCCAAAGTATAAGTTATTTCGTAAAGAGAAATGTTTGGTCAGTAATTATATGACTTCCAACAAAGTCATAAGTTGTTACTTAGACCAAAAAAAGTTCTAAACTTAGGATAATAAAAAACTCGTATAACATCATTCTTATGATCTAAATTATTAAGAAAAAAACGAAATTATTGCACAATTTTTCAAACTCTAATGATCATTTCTAAAAAGTCTTACAATGCTTTATTTATAAACATTTAGATTTATACAATAGAGAACAAAAATGAATGCAGAAATAATAATTAACACAATTCTTTTTTGTATCATAATAATTTTAACAATATTCTTGGCCAAAGAGAGGTGTCAATTTTATTCACTCATTATTGTTGTTTTTCCTCTAATTTTCATCATTATCTAAATAAATATTCATATTTTTAATTTTGCATCTATCTTTTATTGTAGTATCTGTTTTACATTTCAGTAACTTTTTCTTCTTTTTCTCTTTTCCTTCCTCTATCCAACTTAATAGTCTTTTTAAAGTATCAAAAACACATCTTCCTTAGTATCTTAATCAGAACTCTGAAGAAACATAAATGGTTCTTTGTACAGTAAAAGAATATCATAAAATAGCCTTATTTCAATATTAGATATATATTCAAATTTTCTAATCCATCAATAGTAGTGTTTGAACCTTGATAAAAATTAGCGTAAGACAAAGTTACAGTAATTAATTTCCGTCTAACGAAGTACAAACAATATGCTCTTACCTTCCAAACGTAAAAAATTACATAGAAAGAACACAATGCACATACCTTCATTAGGACCTTAATCATAAGAAAATAGATTTTAAAAAATATTAATCAATCAATGCACAATTTTCTAGCTCTTGTCAACACTCCTCTGAGTAAATGATCAACATCTAAGAGTCCTCTTTATTGAGTCTACCTTTACTACAACAACAAAACATGGAAAACTCTACTTCAAATAAGAAATAAAAAGGATAATCTTGAGTAGGAGTTTCATGAAATAAAAATTTATGATTTTATATGGACATAATAGAGGAATCTTTAAAAAAACATAAATAGTTTTTTGAATTGAATAAATTAAAAAAGAAGTAAAAAGGAACTTAAAAGGGGAAAAGGTGATTTTAAGAAATAAGACAAATATCATTAGGGAAGAAATTAAAATACTAAAAGAAAAAGAAAATGAGAAATATTAAGGAAAAGAAAATAATAGCATTTAATGATAAAATAAATTAAATATGACTACTGATAAAGAAAAAATTAAATGTGACTATCTTTAATAGTTAGGAGAATTTTTTGTATTTTAAAATTTGAAAAATGGCCAAAAAAACCCACAAAAAAAAGATAAATAGCTTTTAGGCATGCCGCGTCAACATGTCTAATATTCTCCTTTATATAGAGAGAGAGAGATTGGAAGGAGGCAGTAAAAGTTTGAAAGATTGAGAAACAATGAAGTTTCAATTTCCAAAAAATATCTTGTGGGTTAACCTGTCCACAGCTCAATAACTCTACTCAAGAAAAGATGTGACGTATGTAGCTGAGTGATAATTGATCGCAGTTGGGCAAAGAGTCCAGTAATAATGTTAAAGACTATGATATCGAAAACATAATAATTTAGACTGCAAGCAAATGGAGTGCTTCATCCCAGCTTTGGCAGGCTTGTTCCCCTGTTGTGATATGGTAATTAATCGAGAAAAGGTTGAATAAGATATGAATAATATGAGGCTAAGGAATTACCTTTGAAGCAATTCCTTATTATCACATCCCCCAAACTTATGTAATCTGCTGCCAACAGATTCTTCGAAAGCACTGCGCACAGAATTAATGCTTAGCCTGCCATAGACTATTTGAAGCCTGATAGTCATGCGTATATTGTTTTCCATGAGATGATTTCTCAACTCTTCCTTTTGCTGCAGTTCAGAAACAGAGCGCCGTCCATGCTTCTCAGCCAGATACCTCTTTACATCAACATCATCAGCATACACACCTAGAGAATGCCATATTGATATCACATTAGATAAAGGCCATATTCAAAGTAAACATCACTTTTATGAGTTTTACTTTGAAATGCAGACACTCAAACTTTCAAAAGGAGACAGAGAGTGCTATAATGCATATCCCCCCATCATATAAAGGAAGGTCCACTAGAGACGGCAATGAGATTCTCAAATATGATACCACCACAGGTTTAATTTTTATGAACTGACCAGGGACGGAACTACGTTGCAGAAAGGAGATTCAATTGACTTCCCCTCGTTAAAAAATTTACATTGAGCAAATAGAGCAAAAATGAATTGTATATTAGTATTATTTCACTATTGAAACCCCTTGATACTATTGCATCCCCTCGATAGAAGGCAAAATTCTAGTAAAGTGGCAAAGGGGTTGCACAACTACTTTAAGACCTATGTTCAATCTCTTGTATGAGAATCCTATTATTTTTTTGAATCCCTTGTATAACTTCCTGGCTCCACCACTGGCACTGACGGTGCAAAAAACTGTATTTGTTGCTACAAAAAATTAATCCAAGTAACATGTATAGTAAGCATGAATCGATAAGCCTATACAAGCTGTTAACAATTGATAAGCCCACACGATCTCACATGAACAGCTATAAATGGTAGAGCATGAATTGAGTTGTGACAACTGACAGGGAGAGTAGTGTGTACTACCCCTAACTTGGAAAGTAGAGAGATTGTTTTCCATATACCCTTGGATCAAGAAAAAAAATAACAAAGAAGCACGGGAAAAGAATAACAGAAGTGAAGAAGCCGATAAAATACATTCTCAACATAAAAAAGGTATAAATTCTATAGCAAAAAAATGTAATGCTACAATTACTATTTACTAGTATGGAAGGATAAGTGAGACAACACACAGTTACCTATAGCCTTCTACCCTTATCTGTGTCCTCCATAACTTCCTATTGCCATAGAATTGGAATTCATTTTATATATTTGAGCATCTGTGCTCCACACAAGGATCACAAAAATTAAGAACCTCAGCTACAGCATAACAACATTTGCAGAAGAGACAGAAACATAAATTGATAAAGAGCAAAATCAATTAAGTAAATTGCAGTGACAATGTAGTACCATAAGCATAGACATCAATGTTTTTCAATCCAAAAACCGCCTTTTTACGCAGCCCAATTCCAAGGAGTCGCTGAGTATCTTTCAGAATTGAGGGGAATGCCATTCCGGTCCTCGATTCAGTGACCGGAGCTGAGTTATCTGCTAGAGAAACAGAACCCCACAAAGGGGATGAATGATTTTTGTTAGGTGAGAAATTGGAAAGTAGAAAATTCATAGCATTTTCCAGAAACGGATTTTTGGGGCTTTGAGTTATGGCAATGATCGCTCCGGCGGCAGCGAGGGCTGAACCTCCGGACGCGACGGCGACAGCGACGGTGGAGAAGGAGCGAGATGGAGCATCTGAAGTGGCGGAAGACGGAGTCTTGTGGGGCTGAGGAAACAAGAATGGAAAACGAAGAGAAGCCATTTTTTATTTTTTATTTACTATGGTTTGAGCGTATTTTTTTTTAATACTAGGACTACTTTATAGTTTCAACAAAAAAGGATATAGTAATTCTTTTCATCCTAATGTGTTGTTTCTTCTTCCTTTTTTGTTTTCACTTTTAGTGGTGTGGAAGGCAAGAATTTCATCTTCTAGGCTTTTTGATTCATTATGAATATCATTTTTGGGTTGAAAAATGCATATAAAAATATTATTTAGGTTAAGTGTTTGATTGCATGGAAACTGGTCTAAAAAAAATAAATATTATGCATATAAAAACATGTCGGTAAGGCCAAATAAGAGTTTTAAAAATTAAACTATCTATGGTTATATAAAAACTAGTGCTCTTTTTATTAAATCAACTTGGAGAGAGTAAAGGAAGTTGATATGGCATTGAGCTCTATTTTACTATCCAGAGTTTAGACAAAGATTTATACTCTGGGTGGAAAATCCAGATATACCTATTGATAAAGGAGAGACAGAACAAATATGTTGTTTGTGTGAATGGTAGATCGTTCGGGGACGAACGATGGGTAAATTGGTATCTAATGTAACGACCTGTTTAGTCGTTTGTCCATGTCCAATATGGATAATTAAAAAAGAGAGAGAAATTGACGACAATTCAGAAAGGAACTGGCAACTACTACAATTTTGGAAAGACAAGAAATTGAAAACAGATTAAATGCATATACAGAAATTAAGAAGGAGATTAGAACTAGTAAAAGGCTCTAAGAAAATCAGGACTCTGATTCTGATTCCGATTCCAATCCTATAAGTGGCCATTAGTCCTTTCGGTGGAGATACAGTTCACTTCTCTAATGGTCTGGACCTGGCAACTGAATAGAGGTCCAATTTCCATACCAAATTTTGAGATTGCAATCACCTATATTTAAGAAAAAATCCATATACACAATTTGATTCTTAATTAACTACTGTTTTTGCATACACTTTCAACTAATTTTCCTAACGTATGTTGAACTCATATTAATTTTTATAATCTCTCTCGCGTAATTATAACTTAGTAACAAAGATTATACTTCGACCGAAAAGACTATACATCTGATAAGGCCTCATTTATGATAGAAGGTTTTGTCAGTCCTTATATATGAAGATAGTAAAAAAAAAATTATTTGAACTTCTAGCCTAGCTAAAATTTTAAACAAAACTGGTGATAAAATGAGAATTGTCTAAGGATCATACAAGCCATAAGGATATCAATTCATATCTCACATGCCAGCAATAAAGAATAACGTAATTTAACGCCCCGGGTAAAATGCACAAGAAACAAAAAATATCATTCACTAAATAATTGTCCTAAAAAGAACAAGGAACAGAAATTCCAATCGATACAGATTATCTCAAGTATGAAAGATGGATGGTGTATTCCCATTTCCCACAAAGTAAAGTCTACAGAAGCACACCTCACCGCTACCTTGAAGGTAAGAGAGAGACTATTTCTAATGGACCCTCGATTCAAAATAATATAGATGAGATCCCAATAATATAGTGGATAATTTAGATCTATACAACTCATAAAACCGGTAATTTATTTGTAAGTTTTTGGTGAAAGAGTTTTAGAAGCATGGCAGGCGTTGCAACTGAACTTCATACGCTACATTAAACGTCACAACAAATATGGAATTGCAAGCGATGAGAAATGACACATAACTCTTGCAATTAGAGACGAGTGGAATAAAACCCACTTCCTGTACAATTTACATCATATACTACATCTAATCAAAGAATAAAAATGAACCTAAATCAGAGGTCAGCTTGAATTGGCCTGCTCAGCACCCTAGCAAAGTACGCACGTGTCTCAGGTAATATAAGTTGAATCAATTGCGAATACCTACATGTAACAAGATTACAGTGTGTTAATACACAATTCATGTTTGTTAAGCGTGTCTTTTTTATTCCAAGAAATGATGAAGCAAAAGGATAGGAATCTGGACACACCATGGCATGACACTTAATTTGTCGAACTTCTCCAATGTGAATACAATGCAAGCATTTCTTAATGACAATGCATTGAAAGCCTCTGATAACTCAAACATCAGAGAGACATTTTCCACTGAGATATCCTACCAAAGATAAGAAACTATTAGGAGAAACCAGACATAAATCCTCCTCTAAGACAGAAAGGTCCCCAGCACTCACCTGGGCAATTGCATACTCGCACAGACGCTTAAGGCCCTCAAGAAGATATTGATCAGCAACCCTTAGAAGATCCTTTGCAACACCCATATTAACATCAACAGATCCCGTGTATATGTACCTGCAAACAATAAACGTTCCTGTCTTCAATATTACTAGATTGATTTGTATCCCAGATGTGACAGAGATTAAACAGCAGCGCACCTCATCATCAACTCAAAAACATCCCATGGAATGTTGGGAATCTCTATATCTTTGGCATCTCTCTCCTGCAATAAATATATAACAGATCATCAGAGTTTTGTACTCCACATTTGTGCATTCAGTCATGTCACATGACAAATATGCTTGTAACATTTCAAATAAAGATATTTGCCTTTAAGCAATTTTGCAAAAATCATTTGATAGTCAATATAAATTTGTCTAAAGGGAAAGGTAATCAGAGTTTTGTACGCCATATTTGTCATGACACATATGCTTGTAACATTTCAAATAAAGATGTTTGCCTTTTAGCAATTTTGCAAAAATCATTTGATAGTCAATCTAAATTTGTCTAAAGGGAAAGGTAAGCAGTAGAAGACAAAATTTGGGAGCAAAACCAGCTTTCATCTTGTGTTGCTAATGATCAATTTAGAAACCAATAACCTAAAAGTAAAAGCAATAAATCTTTATGCCAACTATTCTACTTACCCTGTAGCCACCATCAAACATTGCGCGAAATGCATCAGAAGAAGCAAGTAAACAAATTCTGTGGGCATAAAACCGTTTGCCTGGTGAAGGACCAAAAAATCATTAAGATACACCATGATATGAAAAAGATGACAAGATTTGAATCACAAAACTGCTGCTACCTTCGACTAAAAATGTCACATCAGATAGCGTAGAATTATTTACATACAGCTCACCCAGATAGACCTGCATAAAGAAATGCACAAGGAGAAAATAACGAAAAGAGATGTAATATAGGATCAAATACATTGTCTAATTACTGCACCATGAATGGTTATGAACCACCTACAAGTCAATTGAGAAAGAAAAGACAGAAAGCAGACATACAAACTAACAAACATGAAAAGCTCAGACAACATTGTTAATTGGTGAAGAAAGTGAACATCAAGTAAACTGTGGTGAAAACAGCCTATGGAATCTGTCAACATGTAAACCCTCCTCAAACGATCACCAAAGTGAAGACGAGTTACTCACAAAATCTAAATCCTCAAAATGTAGGGATAAGAAAAGCCCTCATATTGCCTAATTGATTCTCAGAATACACCAAGCATGCCAGCGATTAAGGGTCAGCAAGTGAAGTTTTCAGAACTCAACTGTTTTGTATTACTAAGACCATAGAACAATTGACAATGTTATAGGCTAGATTAAGAGATTGACAGGAATACCAGTCTTGGTATACACACCCTCCCAGAACCAAAAAAATAATGCTCAGTGAAGCAAATTTAGCATATCAAGAGAGGGTTCTAAGGTCTTCTACCCCTCATCAGCATAACAGATGCCAAGAACAAATAAAAGGCATATCATACTCTAAAAAGATGCTTTTTCATAATAAACTTGGTATAAACAGCAGCATATAACACAAGGGTCACAATGTGAGAAGCAAACTGAACTACAATATGGTAAGAAACTGTACGCCCAGAGTTTTTATGCAGTAATTCAAATGGTTGGTAAAGTTGACATTGTATTAAATTTGCAGGACAGCTACATTATAACTTTCAAGTCTTGAGGTAACACTAGCACAACTTGGTTTGACAAGTGTTCATAAAGTAAATGGTAAAAGCTTCACAAATTATCACAATCAATGATTAAATTTGAACATCAGACGGTTCAGCGTGCATCTTCGAAATACTCGATGAGAATACAAACACAGCTTAGTGTTAACTTGGTATGAGAAGCACCATGTAACAGTGCAAAACTAAATAAAGACCCATAAATGACCAAGAGACTAGTATTACTCATGTTAGAACTTAAGAACCAAAAACCTGAACAAAAACTTTGCCAGAGTATGAGCATTAAACTGCGGAGCAAACCTGAGGTGTAGGAGATGGAGGGGCTGCATCAACGGGTGAAAGTGAGCTGGCTTTGTTAGCCAACTTGCATAAAGCTACAGAACCATCTCTTTGGTGCTTCAAGTTTGTTGATTCTAGAAGCTCTAAAAGCAATTCCAATCCTACAAGAACATAGTCCACATAGTGGATTAACTGTCACAGCCTAACCAACACACCGAGGAAAATTCATTCTGAGTATAGGTACAGATCACATACCACCATTATCAATAAATATCATCTTTTGGTCATCTGGTGAACAAAGATGGGCAAGCACAAGAGCAACTCGTCTTTGAATAACCTTTTCCCCAACATGCATCAAATACAATAAATGGCCTAATACCTTCAAAAGAGGGCAAACTGGTTTGAGATATAACTATCAGTAACCTATAAGACTTAACAAAGAAATTTACCTTATTGAAGGGACAAGAATGAACTGGACAATGGGGGATACACCACATTTCGTAGCTAAGAAATAAAATAACTTGGCATTCGTTAACAAAAGAAATGTACTCACTGAGTTCTTCATACACAAAATTGCATCATGTGCTTCACTGCAAACAAATAAAGTATGCATCAACAAATTCCTTGCAACAAATAGAAACTCACCCGTCCATGAATCTTCTCTTCCAATCTTTTCAATGTCTTCGCAACACAATCTCTAGTTGGCTAAAAAATGAGTGAACAATATCAAGGGCCATGACAAAGAACTAAGAATAATGAGAAAAGCATCATACTGTATGAAATCATTTTTCCTTTAAGTAATATTTGGCACAAAATAACAATCACGGGAAGAAAAAAAGAATAATACTTGGACAATAAATTCTCCATCCTGAAGCTTTTGAACACCTCCAACCTTTACAAGATCTGTAACATTATCCTATAGCAGAAAGTTGCACCTGCGTCAGATGAGATGTAACACGTCGTAGTACAAAAATCTGGTTATAATAACATTATTGTTTGGATATGTTGTAACACCTCGTTATCAGCAAGCCCATAAAGAGCAAATGCAGCATTATGTTGCAACGATCCATTTTTTGATTCTAGAAGCTTCAATAATGGGACTATTCCACCACAATGAGCAATACCAGCCTGATTGTGAGTGTCCTGAACATCAGGGAACCAGTAAATCCAATCAACTAGAATGTATGTAGAGAATTCTCAAATCATATGAACTCCAAAACTATTAGATAGAGCACATCTCTATGCAATTAATTATGTCACCAGCATGCCACTTTACATGCAAGAATGATTCTTTTGTCATGAGTCAAGCAGGTGAATATACTTTTTTTTAAAAAATGGGTGGCGATGAGACTCAAACCCAAGGTTCTGCCCTGATATCATGAAGTGTATTTCTATTTCAACCAAAAGCTTAAGTTGCTTGAGAGACCCCACTTCTATTTATTTAATTATATATTTAACATGTAGATTATTGAGTATTGAAATGTAATGAGCTAGTATAGAAAAAATTCATATAGCAAAGCTTAAATAGTTTTGGACTGAAGTTTAGCTAATTGCCTGAGAAAGAAAGAAAAGAACAACCCTATGCCCTGGCACTTTCCACGGAAAAAGAGCTCCGAGCTTTGACCCTTCACACACTATTATGATATAATCAAAACGCAAGCATTATCCCTTAAGAAAATTATGATAAAATGTTACTGCCCAATAGAAAAGGTGTAAATGCCAAACATCAACAATTTAAACTACTTTAGGGAGCCCTATCCGTGTGCATATAATATTTCAAGACATGAAATGAGGAGCAATTGAACAGCAAGACAGCATTTATTGTTATTTGATGAGTAAAAATAAGATAGTGTATTTAACATTTAATTGTCCATACATGTATACCGTGAAAGGAAAAACAAGTCAGTTTTAAATTGAAACCACTCATGAAACTGCACAATGGTGCAAAGGAACCACTACTCACAAGCATGATTCCTTGTTTTATCATTTATGTTATTCCTACGTAACAAGTTATTTTTAAAAGGTGGGCAAGTCAATATATAAGATAATCCAGCATCTTTAATACATGAAAACAAACTAAAAACAAGTAATCAAGTTCCCATCCAAGATCTATAATCCAAGTATACAAGTCAAACTTCAATCAATCAACAAAACCTCAATCCTAAAGGAGTAACCCATATGAATCTTATGTAATCATTTCACTCCATCAAGAGACAAGCCATGCCAATTAATCATCCGACATGCAAGTAAATAAGAAAGTAAATTCTTGAATTCTAAGCTCGCAGAATAATTAGAAAAACATGGTCTGATTGGAACCAATAATACAATTATATTCTTTAGTATAAGGTTTGATTGGAAAGGGGGATAAGACCATGAGTCATGACAAAGATGTCACGAGCACATATCATACTTGAAAACAACCTCAATAATCGCGAAAGATATGTCCATGATCATCAACTATCGACACAAGTAATGCCAGAAAATAAATCTTAATGGTAAACTTACAGAATACTCAGAGAAATAGTGGCCCAGGGAATAACTACTAACAGAACAAAAGAATTACTTGATAACCACAAGAAAACAAAGTACCCTAAAGAAAATCTGTAAGGATTTCAAGTCACCTGTGCCAACCTTCCAAGGGCAAAGGCTGACATTTCCCTAAGTTGAGCATCCAGAGATTGAAGCATCTCAATCAGTGGCGGTACGGCACCTCTTTGCACAATGTGAATCTGCAAAACCATCAGAAAAAAATTTCAACCAGAAATCAGATTATGTTGCTTTAAATGCCAATAAATCGATAAATATACTACTCTTAGGCCATTAATAGAGTACAGTAGCATCATCAACCTTGCAGTCGGAGTCGGTTGCTGCAAATTGTCCAAGTAATAAAGCTGCTTCCCTTTGGCTTTCCGGACAGGAGGAACTATCATACAAAAAGGGCTTATTTCAGAAGCAATCAAGAGGAAAAGAACAAACCAAATAGTAGCATGTCTACATCCATTAGATGGAATCTGCAAATGATAAGCATCTACGGAACAGAAGTTTTACATGACCAGCCACTCAAAAATTATAAGATCCAACACTACCTAAGTAACCCAATAACGGGTTGTAAAGCTCCAGCAAGAAGAACGTCCTTTTTGATATTTGGTGATGAGTGCACCAAATTTCCAATGACTCCAACCTGACATCCCACAATTTCACTATGTCTACCACTTGAAGCATGGCTGTGACTTTATACATAATTAAATATATATATATAAAAAAAAAAAGAGCTAGTAATATGAACTTGCAGAATGATGCCTAACCGCTTCATAGTGTATTGCAGTATCTTCGGATCGCAGCATTAGAATAAGAGTAGGGAGTGCATTGCATTCAACAATCTGAAATCAAATCAGAGAAATTATTCTAATAGAACAGATAAGACAAGAAATTCAGAGATACATTCTAGAAATCGGAATAAAGATTAAGGCTACTAGCCTGATTTTTGTTCTCGTCATTTTTAAAAGCCAAAGTTCGCAACGCTCCTGCAGCTGCTCTTTGCACCTTTGCATCAACGAACTCAAGCAATTCAACAAGTGGAGGAATACCACCCACAATCCTTCACATACAAAATAGAGATGAAGTGTGAATATATGTCTTCTTTTGATTTGATGTAGTGACCAAAATTTTAGAGGACAAATAAGCTAACCTAACACGAGTTTTGATGCTACTATTTTCATGGGCAAGATTAGTGATTGCATCAGCTGCTCTCCGGATAACACCATTGACAGCACGAGAATTTTGCAGAGTTTTATGTCTTTTCAGCAGATCCACAAGATGAGGTAGAGCTCCAGCATCAACAATAAGTTGCTGGTGCTCCGGCTGTCGAGAAACAGAAACAGTTTAAAACACCTGCATCTAAATTATGAATCAATGAAGGGCCTTACATGATAGACTAGAAGTTCCTATTGAGAAACAAAAATTGGTAGGAAAGTGGCAAGAGAGTGCACAAGTAGACCAAATGGTACATGCATGATGCAATATACAGATGAAATTAAAGTACCAATTAACGTGGAATGCATTCAATGAAAAAACATAACTCCAACTGTGCAAGCAAGTTCATGTAGTCAATAACAAAAAATAGCTCCTATTGTATAAGCAAGCTCCAGTATATGCTAAAGTGTGGATAGTGCAGAGTAATTCAAAGAAATCATCTGCCCTAATAGCGAAAATTGTCTTCTCAGTTGTGCTTAACTCTCAAGAGAATAAATATGATTTATACTGACTTTTATGGCTAGAAGGCCAAGCGTAAAAGCACTTCCTTTCTCGACCTCATGCTCATACGGCATCTGCCCACCATCTCCTTGATTCCCAAGGGATGGCACTTGAAGATGCTTCACCAAAGCTGGGACAGCACCACAGTCTACAACCACATTCACAATTTCCTCTGCAACAGAAAAATCCTCAAAAATATCAAAACCCAACTTCCAGGCCCAAACTGATTGAAATCAAACTCTCTGCATGTACATTCAGCACTCTATAAGACTGACTAACTTGTATTTTTTAAGAAGAAGAAAATTTTTTTTGAATAAATCCAGTAGAGTTTAACTTGGGAAATTAGTTGAATTAACTCCCGATAAACAGAAATGTAGATGAAATCGGCTAGAAACGAGATATTGAGTTACCGTTCTTCGCTAACTCGCAGAGAACATGAATAGCAGTCTTGGCAGAGGCACGATCTGCTTCCGTCGAAGAGAAAGTAGAATCGAGAATCTCCACCTGCGTTCGAACCTCAGAAGCGAGATCTTGATGAGCATCATCATCATGAGAAGAAACTTTACGATCGTCTTCAAAATCTCCTTCGAGCTTTCTCTTCAAGCTTCTCCTCCCGGAACTTGAAGATTGTTTGCTCCGCTTTGCTTGGTTCTCCATGGAAGAGTGGTGGTGCGAGCGTACAATGAGTGAGTGTGGTGCTCTAGCTTAGGGATATAAAATATAAAATGTTAACACTCTCCTCTATTTTACTTTGAGTTGAAAAAATGTGACTGCGTTTACATATTTTATTATTACGTCCGAGAAAAACAAAATTTTGAACAGATTTTGCTCTCTCCCGCCATTATTGCCGTGCGGGGCGGCCCAAAAGTCACAAACCCAAATTGGATGCATGCAAAGGTAATCATTTACTTATAATACTCCCGAGTCCCAACGTTTCAAAAATAATAACCTAATTTAATTTGAAACAGAATTTAACAAAAAAAATAAATTTTTTTAATTTTATGGTTCGAAATTAAAGTTATGTCAAATATATTAAAATATCATTTAATCTTGTGATTTTAAACATGCCACATCAAAAATTAAAATTAAAGTATTACCAAAAACAAAAGAAATTATCCTTTTTAAAACAGACTAAAAAAGAAATAGTTATTTTTTTTTAAAACAGAGGGATTACTATTTTTTATTCTCAATTTGTGCAAATATAATCCTTGAAAAACTAGTACTGTAATTTTTATTGGGATTTAATATATTGATGTCATCTAAACTCTAATGTATTCTTGTAAAAAATTTCAACTTCATTAAAAAGAAATGTTTATTTATGAAATAGTTATTCCAAAAGGAAAGAATCAATGAAATCTTTCGCATTGTGAAGGCTTGTTTGGTTTGCAGTAATTAAAAGTTCATGAACATTAGGTGGAAAAAATTATTTATCCATACGTACCTATTTACTTAAAAGAATACACTGTAAGAGTTATATATGTTGTATACAAGATGGAATCGGTAATAAAACAACAAGTATCAAGTTTTGTATATTGAGAGCGTACAAAGAATATTTACGCACACAAGATCAGTTACAGTGCAATCACATAAATCTATCCTATAAGCATTGTGTAATTTTTTTTGTAAAAATTTAAGGAATCTCATAGTATAATCTGTCCCGACAAATTTAGTATTTATAAAAAATCCCTTAAATTTGTTGTTCTGTGATATTTTAGACTCTAGTGATACATGGTAAACGATACATGGTAAGTTTAAACTGTTGAGAAAAATATGGGGAAAAAATGGTACAATTAATGTTGTTACTAAAACAACTTAATTTAAGGTAACAGATCATTAATCACCATAAAATCAGCACGTAATTGGATATTGATTTCAAATTTTGAAAATCAAAATTATATCATATATTTTGAAAACATTTTTTATGAACAATTTGTTAAATTTTGAATTACATTAATTTTATTGTTGTTACAGTGGATTTTTCAAGATGAATACTTCGAATTTGATGATTCATTGAAAGAAGAATTCAGCTATCCAGAAAATGGTACTGTCAAGATCGAGGCTTCATCATCATCATCATCCCCTACACCATCTGAGGAATCATCATCTTCGCCTGAGTCTGATATTATTTTCTTGGATTTCGATGAATCAGAAAACTTCTTCTTACCCAAGTACCCTTCCGTGGAGATTGATTGGGAAGCTCTTTGATACTTTGTTGTAGTATTACTTTGTTTTTGTTTTTTTTTTTATAAAAAACATATCATGTATGGTGTAAGGCATGGCCTCCTGCAATGGTGTTTTTGACATTTGCAGAGGTTGGTGTAGTAGTGAATAGAGTCATGTAGAGAGCCATGTAATAGTAAAGGTCACTTACTCTCCATCTTGTTCATGCTGTGGTTTTTGTATATGCATTGAACCAAAAGGGAGAGATTTTGTATCATGTATGTGTCTTGTTCATTTCTTAGCTTAATATAATCATATCTAATGTTTTAGTATGTATCTAAACTTGTGTTATTATATCAACAAACAATCTTTCAGTATTCCAAAAAACAAAGAATCCACTTAGCTAGTCAAGTAAAATAAGATCCAAACATGAAGATTATTGAAGTGAATATTGAAAATTTGAGGTAAATTATTAGTTTTATTTTTAAATAGTGACAGAAGTACCCGTTTACTTAATTTTGATATAATTTGTTTCGTGATATATTAAGTGGCTTTTAAATTTTGTAAAATCGAGAAACTCGTAAGTGTTGAATTCACTAGTACTTTTCAGGTAAATCATTGGCAAAAAATAGTAAGGTAAGAGAGGTTTTCAATAAATAAATATTTTTTTTTACTTGCTAGTAGTATCATGTTTGCAATTGAGTATACATCGGATGATCAGAATCATTAAAAACAAAAAGTAAAAAAACTCAAAAAAAACATGATTATTTTTCACTCATGCTCCTCTTGTCATTGGATCTCTCCTATTCCTTACACACTGATTCCATATCTATCATCAAGTACAGCTGATGAAGCATTTATTAAACTTAGTGAATGATACATTATAATAATTTTCAAACCATGTATCAGTACATCAACTAAACAACTAATACCTTACTGATACATGATATCAGTTTTCAGGAATTCATACTACATGCAAAACATGTGATACATATCTACTACATGTATCAGTGCATTGACTAAACACTGTACACACAGATTCTATATGTATCATCAAGCACAGTTGATGACGCATTTACTAAACTTATTGAATGATACATTATAATAATTTTTAAAACTTCATGATACATATAAAATATTATGATACACAACAAATTCATGTATCAATTCACCATCTAAAACACTATACACACTTATTCAAATGTATCAGCAAGCACACTTGATTCCTTAAAATTTTTACTAATTTAAACAACATTTTTAAGTACCAAAATACTAACCCGAGACAATGTAGGCCTAACAATAATGTTTGCTGCTTCTTTTTTCCTTTTTTGTTGTATTTTGACAACCTTTGATTTTGATGTTTCGTCAGAGTCTTTGTTTGAATCCTTCTGAAGATTCATAGGATCATGCAAAGACTTTTTCCTATTTTCTTTCCAATTTTCATCGTCGGAATCATATATCCTTCTATTAATTAACGGATCCATTACTGTGATGTAATAGAACAATTAACAAAAATAAAAAAGAGAAGAATATACGAATTGATGATGGATTAATAATAAAAAGATGCTGGGTTCAAACGATTACAGATTAAGAAGAAATAGACGATGATGGATTCAAGAATAAAAAGAAGAAAATAATAAAATATGTTGGGTTGAGAAGATAATATGTTGGGTTAAGAAGAATGAAGATGATTATGGAAAAAAAAGAACTGAAACTTGATGGAGTAAGAAAAAAACGGTAGAAGTTAATGGAAGTTGTCCTGCTTCCTGAAATTTTTACTTTTTTAAATTTCAAATTTTTTGAATTTTGAAATTCAAAATTTCAAAATTTGGTCTTTTATTTAAAAATAATTAAATTTAATAATTCAAAATCAAAAAGCTGATTAAAAGGTTGAGTGTTTAAATGGATAAAATTTAAAATTCAAAAACTGATTTAAGAGGTTGAGTGTTTTAATGGAGAAAAAATAGGCATTAAAATGGGTAAATGTGTATTATAGGAGAGAGAATGTAATGTATCTAAAAACTTACACTAAAATAAAAAAAAGGGAATTATGTAATATTTGAAAAAAGTAGGGAATATTAGAGAATATAAAAATTATAGTTGTGTATTTAAGTTATTTTTTCAATTTTTTTTACCCAAAATTAATGGTTGGCTATACTGGGCCACTTGAATGATGGACACTCTGTCATGGACCTTAACGGTTGTGGCCTAGCCCAAGAATCGACACAGATACATAAGTGTTACACACAATTGACAACATATAGTCCAATAGCAATTAGCAATTAATAAACAAATAAAAAGGAAAAAATTACGTACTAAAGAAAATTTATATTATATAATTACTCATCATAGTTATAGTTTGCTATAATTATCACTCGCGACTGTTTACATCCCTACTCTTTCGCAATAGGGCGAAACGTCGCGACAACTCGAAAAATAATTAATTGATTCAATTTTAACAAAATTAAAAAATAAACGAGTTTTAAAAAAGAGTCGCCACCTAATTTTTTAGGAAAACTAGGAAACCAATTATTAATCTACGAAACCAAATTGATTCTTAGGTAAGGGGTTCAAGTTATTCCGAAGGGAAGGGGTTAGGCACCCTTCGGAATCCACAAATGTGGTTCCCGACTGAATTCATTTTTTTTTCAAATTGAGGAAAGATATAAAATAAACACATATAATAAACACACAATATACACAATAAAGCAATAATTATCGGCCTAAAGTTTGTCTAACGTCAATATTCACAAAATAATGAATGAAATACAATTCGAACTTTTCGAATAATTTCAATGAGAAGCACCTCCGGGTACCTGTAAAGACACTTAGTAAAAGAGTTATTGTCAAAATAATATAAATAAAAATAAATAACTCAAATAATAACTAAAATAAAAATCCGTCTTATTAACATGGGAGGCCTTGGAAATCGACGGTTATTTCTTCATCGGCCACTTTCAACATATAAAATATATAAACTTGAATTGAAATTCCGTCCTTTTAAAATGAGGAGGCCTCCAAAACCGACGGAGAGTTTTCTCATTGGCCATTTTAACAAAACAAATAATATGAACTTGGCTAAAAATTTCCGTATTTTTTTAAAAAGGGAAGACCTCTAAACCCGACGGATAGATTTTTCATCGGCCTTTCAACATATAAAATATATAAACTTGAATTAAAATTCCGTCTTTTTAAAATGGGGAGGCCTCTAAGCCCGACGGATAGATTTTTCATCGGCCCTTTTCAACATATAAAATATATAAACTGAACATCAACAAAACATAACAAACTTATCCCAAGAGAATATGGAAAACAACAACCAAACTAAAATAACATAATTAGAAATGGAAACAACTATAACATAATATATATAAAAATTAAAAATAACATTAAAGTAGAATAATAACAAAACCCTGAAAAGTTAAGATAGCAAATAATTGACTAACAATTTTAAAATAATAGTAATAATAAATAAACATCGAATCGTAAAATAATGCTAATATTAAAACTACAATAAACACAAATATTAATTGACTTTTAGAACTACATTAAACTAAAAAAACAAAACAAGCTACATATAATAAACAGAAAACAT